ACCATTTCCTCATTCCATCTTCAGACATCGAGACCATCCAAGAACTAGGTTCAGTCGAACCCAACAAGTCCTTGACTTCCAAGCTACATCATTTCCAGCTTCCATGCACCTTCCAATAGGGCATCACTTCCCACAAGTCTACGACTTCCAGAAGCTTCAACCAGCTTCCATCTACGAAGGGCTTCCAGCCCCATCAAGTGTCAATGCAGCCGAACTTCCCAGTCCGAGCCGCAGGTACACCAAGTGACGGTATCATCCGACACCAGTCTTCCAGGAGTGGCACCACTCCCAGCAGGAGTGCCAGCCACAAAGACTTTTCTGATGATGACATTTTCCGTATTGTCTCGTCTACACCCGCTCAGCTTCTCGTTACCAAGCGGGATGCCGAGCAACTACTTCCAAGGTTTGTTTTGGACTCATTGCAAGCCAGTCGACACGACGACCCAAGACTGGATTGCAAGCCTTCCCAAGGCAGGAGCCTGCTTACCCAGCACAGATAGACACTTTGAGTGCTATTGATTCTCAGGAATCTTAGAGGAACCACCTCTAGCTCCATAGCAACCCCAAGGTACATCCAATGTCCAAACCAACCAAGCCAGCTTTGGCTACAACAAGTACCAGTCCTGCCACGGCTAGCTCACAGGAGTGTGCCAACCGTGACAGCAGGAGTGGTATTGATAAAGTTGTACCCACCAAAACCAAAGTCTCAAACCTTTTTCAACCTTCTTTTGAATTCTCCGATCGATCTATCCAGATTGACACACCAGATCGACTGACAAGAAACGATCATGCCAGATCGAATGACACGAAGCGATCGAATCACAAGCAGCGACCACGAGATCGATTCAGTTTGACTCTCGCGATCGACTCAGAAGATCCATCATGAGATTGCAAGTGCGACCACAGAAGCCTATCGAGGCAGAGCAAGCTTACTCAAGCAAGGGTAGCCACACACCAGTGCTACCGGGATATCTTCTGCAGAGGATTCCCACAGTTCCACAGGAACAGTTCCACCATGGAACCAGCTCAAAGCAAGCAACAGTTCGACGGAATGCCACAAGTTGTCAGCACCCATCTACAAGAGGTGCAAACCAAGGTCCACATCAAGCAAGCACACATTCATGTACAACAAGTCACAGCCATTGCTTCGATTCCAAAGAAGAGGAGGCCGTGATGAAGGAAGAAGCTTCCCCAGCTGGGAAGAAGAGGATTCCATTCCTCTGGAAAAGACAACAGCAGGACATCCAACACTTCTTGGACATCCAACAAGAAGAGACAGCTCACGTTCCATTCCAATGGACAACAAGCTGACTCCAGATAGCTACCAAGCTATTGCACAGACTCATGCTCACCTGATTTCCAAATCCAGTATCAAGCCTGAATGGATTGATGTTTCCACACATCATTGGCGATTGAGACCATGGCATATCGATGTCCAGTTCAGTCTACACCGCCAGTCAAGAGCACAGTTTGAGTCTACGAGAATGCAGCCGGAACTTCCTAGTTTCCAGCTACAGCAATACCAAGTGACCGGAACTTCCCAGTCCACGGTTCAACAAGTGATCGGAACTTCCCAGTTTCGAATACAGCAACATCAAGTGACGGCACCAACCGCCACAGCAAGTCATACAGGAGTGGCAACACTCACAGGAGTGGTAGCCACAGTGGCTTTTCATGACGACACTGTCCACATGTCCACATTGACTGTGACAGATTTGTCAGCACTGCTATGGATGACAAGCTTCTCGCCACCAAGCGGAATGCCGAGCAACCTAGCAATTGGTCTCTCTCGACCAACAACTGTTCCTTATGGAGCAACCATCATTACATTAATTATTCGTTCCACGGTATCCTTTATGGAACCGTGCAGGAGTGTGTTGGAGGTTGTATTACAGACACCTCAATACAAATTATTCGTTTATCCCAATCTAGTTTAGAGGGGATATCTATATCAATTCTCTAGTTACATACATGGGGAGTTTAACTGATCTATATGGTCACCCCCTTCACTATATCCTTTGAAGTTGAATCAATCCCAGAAAACATGGAGAAAGATCACTTCTTGGAAATAGCTTAACAGTAAAACAGTATTTTACCTTTACTAAGCTAGCGTGTTACTAGCAACCAACAATCGAGTCGCGAATAAGGCTAAGAGCCGTGTATTGCATTTCTGTTTTCGCGAAAGAAGGATTCAGTGGAAGCAAGCTCGATCGATCGACAATGACAACAACCAACGGAGCCAATCGACAGTCATTAAGACAACAACCAACGGAGCCACTCCACAGTCATTAACAGCAGCAGAAGAGACAACCAACAGCAGCAGCAGCAGCAACAACACAAAATGAAGAAGACATGGGCTGCCAAAGTCAGAATAGGAATTCCCAGCAGAAGAGAGCATATCAACTCGCCTCCAACAACAACAACAACAACAAAAGATTGAAGATGCGTGTTCCAAAGAGAGCACACCACGTTCTCTGTATTAAGAATACAGTAACAAGAGGAAGAGGACATTTGAATTCTCTTGAATAGGTGTCATGGTCGCTCCGTGGAAACTGTTGTTGATGTCGACAACGTCATTTTGGTTTTGGTTGGTTGGTTGTGGTTGTCGGTAGCAAACTGCATGGCGTCGGTCTGTTGGTAGAGACAATGGCTTCCGTAGTTTCGAAAGGACGACAGTTGTTGCTAGTACTTCACCATAATGCTAGCTGTATGTTGTTGCCAAGAGCCTTGCCCCTACCAAAGTAGGCACTGACTTCAAGACAAAATAGCGCAGCAATCAAGGGAGTAGTAGTAGTAGTTGTTGTGTGTGTTGTTGTTGTTGTCGATCGACCTAATCGATTCATCGATCGCTCCGTGGAAGAGAAAAGAGAAGGCGTCATGGTGGTGGTGGTGGAATAGAGGAGTAGCCGCTGTAAAGAGGAGACAACACCATCTTGATAGAGTAACGATAGAGTAAAGGTATCGGAATAATGAATATTGACTAGTGTTATTCGAAGAGGAGGAGTTCCTTCATTCACCACGACCGAAGCGTTGGATCCCTCTTTACTACAAGCCGTACGGCCAAAGCGTTGGATCCCTATCAACTCTCACAAGTGCGACAGGCGTCGATCGATCCGTATCAAGCCTCACTCAATCCGACCGTCTCCGGTTCAGAGTTCAGAGCAGAAAGCCATCCTCATTGAAATTACACCAGCTTGGGAAGGTTTTTTTCTCGGCCGCTGACAGTCAAGTTGGAGTGGGAGGGTTTGGTTCGAGCAAAGGATGGGAAAAGAGCAGATTTCGTTTGAATTCCTGTGACGTATTTGCTGACATATACATTGTTCTTCGGATGTAGGAGATTAACGGAGGAGGGGCCGATGACCAGGTCATTGCCATTTCCCCTCTTTATTGTATGTACTTCGTGTCTCTTCTTTGCCCTGCAGGCTCCCGATTCGGAATCAGGAATTCAAAGGTTAACCCTCTCCCTCTTCTTCTTCTTTTCCCTCCCCACATCTGTTCAAAATGAAGGATTTGCCGTCTAAGGTCTGGCCGTGGTTGGGAAAATTCTGGTCGATTTCATTAAAAAATCGTGTTTACCTGGCCCAAAGGCGAAATTTAAAGCAAAAAAAGCTGAAATGGCGAAATTTTTAAAAGGCAAAACAAAGCTGGATCTTGGGGTAGCGACGGCCAGACCTTAACCGGCTCTTGAACTGATGTGTCCCCCGCGCTCATGCCTAACCCCCCCATATCTCAGACTTCGGATTGGCACGGTAGAAGGCAGTTTTTGGATATTGGTAGATGTGGTAAACATGTTTTTTATTTAGCAAAACGTTTAATTAAATAGGTTTACCTCAACTACCTCAAAACCTGCTAGGCTTACCAGTACATGTTCCGGTACTAGCTAGTACCTGGTACCAGGTACGTTGTACACTTACCGTACCGTGCTGTTGTAAGCGTGGTGGACCTTGGCGACAACTGCAAGGGTTTCCTGTTACCTTTGTACGTACCGGTAGGAGCGTACGGTAGGAGACTCTCGAGTTTCGTACGGTACATCTTTTGAGCTATGTTGATTGCCACATTGCTTTCGGTGGTTCATTTGAGGAACAGTGGTACGTATGTACAGCCTAGTAGCTGGAAGAAGTAAATTAAGTAATGGCCATTACATTGCGTGGGCTTCGGACCCTGGCCACTGAGTACCAAACACGTCGATAATGCATGTAGTATTGCTATTTCGATAGCCATTTCGATGGTCGTGGTGAAGGCGTCAAGGCACGGATTGAGATGGTGAAGGCGATGTACTGGTACGCCTATCGTAAAATAGCCGCACCCGTACCGGTACCATGGCCAGTTCCGTACGACCTATGCATACCTACGGTACCCATGAGTGGATGAGAGATTCGTGCAAGTGAGATGCTCCGGAATTTACAGCTGGATTGGCTGTGAGCTGTGACCGCAACCGTCTTTTAAGGGCAATTCGGCGGAACTGTTAAGAAGCTGTGTCTCTGCAACAAATGATACTCTTGGAGAACTTCATCTGTACCAACAATTGCCCCTCGTGTCCATCGTGCTCATACGTCATCGACCGATGAGTACCGATGTGTGTTGGTTTGCGGTTGACGAACGCAAGTTCCGAAATCTACTGGCTTTTATAAGAGTAGGGTTCTTCTCCAGCTGGAGGATGTCACCCCTCGTTCCAATCACCTTTCTTGATTTGGGAGGGTCTGAAACCTTTGAAAAGCTATAGCCTGCTGCTATCGTAGACAGGAACCTTCTATTGCTTCTTTCAGGCAGCTCTTAGCCTCTGTGGATGCCTCAACTTGAACCAAAAGACTTGGCGATTTAGCCTTTGGTGTCGGCACTGCAAACCCAGTTGGCAAGGCTTTGGTGGTGAAGCGCTCGCTCTACTGGTGCTGGTCCTGAAGGTGTCGCTGGGGTGGGATGAAATAGCCAACTTGAACGTTGCCTGCTAAGAATCAATGGTAGCAAGGAATACTACGGTAGCTAGCTAGAGTCAAGTACATGAATGCAAAGTAGAGTTCTATACAGGATTATTTTGGCAATAGCAATAGAGTGATGGAAGCTTTCAGCTTCTTGGTTTTTTAGATGCTCGCGAGATCAAAGCGAGCTGCAGGCTGTGGGGTTGCTTGTGTTTTGTACAGGAGGAGATAAGGTACAGGGGCGGAATATTCAAATAACAAAACATTTAGGCACAGGGAGCCATAGCGGGAGGCCTGACAATAGCAACATTGAGGAAGATTTCATCGAGGCACACTGGTTCAAGGGGGCTTGCGGAGCTTGCAGGCAAGAGGTCAGCCGCCTGACGGACACTGTCGAGGCGCTCTTGTGCACGGGGGTAGTCTCCCAAGGAGTAGAAGACAGACGCCTGGTTGTTCAAGGCAGCGATAGCCAAAGCTGTGGCGCTGGGATCAGCTTCAAAGATGAGCTGTGCAGTCAAATCGTACATTCGAAGTGCCTTTTGCAACTTGGTGGCATCACAGCTTGTTAGTCCCTTGTGGTGAAAGGCTAGAGCCAGGTTGAACAACACACAAGAGTTGGCCCATGTCAGATCGGTTGCAGAGGCATCCAATAGTAATGCTTGGTTGTACACGTAGAAGTAGGGATCTTCAAGACCAACAACTTGTACAGAAGGTCCAAAGACGATAGTGTCAGCGCGCATGAAGTCATCGTCTTCACCGGCTCTACCCATGAGGACAAGAGCGCTCTTGAAGGACTTCAAAGCATTCAGGCTGTCTCCTGCGGCCAGGAAAGAAACGCCAGAGTTGTTCATGTTGACAATCTGTTGGATCATGGTGTCTTGCTCTTCTATAGCTAGTAAAAAGGTGATCGTGATGAATCAATTTGTCTCTAGGCAGAGTATTTTATGGGAGCAGAGTAAAAGGGCTCTTTGCAAAAATAATGGATCAAGAGATTGGATCAGGCAGCGAAAAGCGAACCTAAACGAGCACGACGATATAAGTACAATGACATCACTAAGTTAGAGGCCCAAAGAATTAAAGGGTTTTATAGAGGGTTCTCTTGTTATTTAAATTCGCGTGAGATAGAATATCAACAGGCACTGGAATTGTATCAATAGGCACTAAAGTTGCATCAAAAGGCACTGAAGTTGAACCAGGCCCTGACAGCATTCTTCTTCAAGGATTGCATCAAACCGAGGCTGATGATGCATTTGGGTTCTTGTCGAATTTGATTCCGAAATGGTGCTGGCTATGGGCAACTTGGAGCTTTTAGTGAATCTGATTGGTGAAACTCAAACAACCGTACCCTGATTGGGTTCTCAACTCAGCGCTGTCTCAGGCCTTGGGTGTGAAAAGTTGGTTGCAACTTGCTTTCAACCATGACGTTCCCAGACCTCTAAGCTCTGATTGGACCCCTTCATGTAGCAGGGTCTTCAGCCTTGGAGAAAAGAAGCTGCAACAGGTGCTGTTCTCCCGCTTTCACCGGAAGCAGCCGAGCACGCAAGTGGTTCGGCCACCAGGGAGCTTTACAAGGCAAGGTTTGCTGTTCGAAGATCTTGAGGACGACCGCAGCTTTGTAGGTACTGTAATGTCAATCGGCTACTGTAGGTACCAGGTACTAGGTGGGTGGATGTAAGATGCCATGCAGTCGTACTGGTCTGTCTATTCACCAGGCTGGTCAAACCAGTATTCTTCTTCGCATTCGCTCTAGTGCATTGGCTGGCTGCCTATTTTGCTTCTTTTTGGCTGGTGATGGCTGGTACCGGTGTGGTTTGACATGTATGTGGTGGCCCGCCTCTAAAAGCTAGAAGTGAGAGGTTGCGTGCAGGGTTCGTTCACTCCTTCATTGCACCAGTTCGGTCCAACTCTCTTCTGGCTGGCTGGCATTTGTCCGACCCAAAGAAGGGGCTACCGCCGGTAGAGCCACGAGGGGGGCTCCGTTCTCGCTCTTCCGACCACTGGTGTTGCAACCATGAACGTGCATGTAGCTACGATGTACGATTCTGTAGTAGTACATTCGCAGAGCTCCTTCCCTGCTCTTTCGACCACTGGTGTTGCCATGAACGCACATACATGTACAATGTACGATGCTCGATGGGGATTCGCAAAGCTACTTCCCCGCGCTTCTGACTGGTGTTGCAGCTCCAACCATGAACGCACATGTACGATGTACGATGTACGAGCGATGCACGAGGATGAGGGTTCGCACAGCTGCTTCCTCGCTCTTCTTACTGGTGTTGTAACCATGACAACACCATGACCATGAATGCAGATGTACGATGCTCGTCTCTCGAATCTTATCTTTGTAGGGGTCTCCTGGTGTCTATGCTTGTTTGGGTTGAAAACAATCATGACATACTACTAGCTCGAGCTACTGTATAGCGCAGTACAAGTAGTAGTGCCTGATTTCTTAGCAAGCAAACATCAGAGCTTCTTTAGGCACTCCTCTGGGCGACTGCAGGTCCAGTCAGTGGCAATCAAGAAGTGGCTCAGCTTGTTTTGGCTGGGCGACTCCGATACCGGTACAAGCAGAAGAAGGGGCTCAGCTTGGCTCTTGCCTCATCTGCATCCTCGGAGCAACTGCTAGCTGGCTACCGTAAGCACTACTCACCTGGAACACGCATTCGCTCTTCGCTCGGGTGGACAGTGTTGTGCGGTGCCAGTAGATGCTGGCTCCCGCAAACTGCAGCAATCAAAGTCACATGCAATACTCCGACACCAACTTTTTGGTTTGCACGCACTCGACTGGGTTGTGCTCGAGCTCAACCTGCTGCATGACAGCAAAGCGTTGGTACCGGTACTGCACCAGGGCACTACGGTACCGTACACCCACAAGCAGTCCCGCAACACCGTCGACGGCAATAAAAGTATGCGAAGGTGTATCGTAGTGAATGATTGAATCTTCAATCATTCAATCGAATCGAATTACTCCATGATAACCTACGAAGAAGCTTGTTGTCAATGAATTGGTTTACTGCAGGTTCGATCGGTAGATACGCTGTAGCTTTCTGTCATTGCCGCGAAGGTTCGAAGTCACGTGACCACAAAGATACGATACGATCGTTTGGCATTTAGTGTTTGTCAATGCTCGAGGAGCCTAGAACAGACAACAGTACTTCTATGATTGTATCGAAGTCGCATCCGGTTGCTTGCTAGCTAGTAGTAGACTATGAGTGACTGAGGATTGTATTGCTGTCGCTGCTAGATTGCGTGCTTACTTGGCTTACTAATACGAGCGAGTATCATCATAGTTGTCGTCCACATAGCGATGGATTCCGGGACAAGAAGTAAAAGACACAATCCAAATCATCCGCTACGTTTCCAATGACATGGACCCATTCTCGATTCGACGACAATGCCATGCTATCATTGTTCTGCTGCTGTTGTCCCAAGAGTCGACTCCTTCCGGCGGCATTCAGCTTTAAATGGAACTGGACACTGTTCCACGCTTCCGTCGTACTAGTCGTATTGTTTGGTTGTGGTTGTTGTTGTTGAGGTCCACCGAGATGCAACACTCGTAACTTGGTATTCTTTTGCAATACGGTCGATGCCATTTGGACCCATCGAGGACTCGTACCACCCGTCATGGCGGGCAATTCAAAGTGTTCCAGACTTGTATTGTCTTGCAGCATGTATGTCAAACAGTCATTGACTTTCCCTTGCGCATTACTAGTGTCACCCAGTTTGTGCAAGACGACCGACTGGAGACTCTGACTGGTGGCAATGCCGGGGCCCATGGAATAGACGTGTTGGGCATTGAGTATAAACCCCTTGAGGACGAGTCGTTTCAACGTGGTGGACCAGCAAAGTGTTTCCAGAGTGGCAGGAGTCAACACTCCCAGTCCACAAAACAGTTGTTGCTTGCTAGTGACTTGAATGCTTTCCACAGAGGGCAATGACGCCACTGCCTGGAGGATAGTGTTGATGGAAAAGGAAGGAGGAGCAGCATTGTTGTGTCGCCGTTGTTTCCGCCGTGGGCTACTACCGTCACCACTGGCGGCAGCGGCGATTTTGCAGTCGACGAGGTGAAAGACTCGCAGCTGGTGTTGATTCTGGAGGCATTCGGAAAACTCGTCAAAGTCTTCAGCGTGTCCCAAAAGTTGGATTCGCGACAGACACAGCGATTGTAGATTGCTATCCTGTCGGTTGGTCAAAATGGCAGTGAGACTGGAGACATGCAGCGAATGCACGGCCATGCCACCCGAACAAGTGATTTCTTGCAAATTGGGCAGTGATCCCACAGCCTCGGTAGGCTCGTCCGGTCGACTTCGTTTTCGACTCATTGTGCCATCTTGCCGTCTTTTGGTAATGCTGGTGTTGGTCTGAAAGAGATGGGGATAAAAGGTCAAACCGACTTTCGTAATGCCCTCGTCGATCGCCGCCATGGCATCCACCAAGTTGGATCCAGATTGGACATTCAAGTTCATTATTGAGGATGATGATTCCATTGTCTTAAGCACTTTGTTGAGCGTAAACTAACTGTTGATTGTGTGAAAGCTACCAACGCGAAGTATTTTTGGTTGCAGACTTGCCTTGCCTTGCCTTGCCTTGCATTGGTTAGTTGAGAAACCGCATAAGAAGAAGAAGCAATTTTGAAAATGTGACAAGAAAAGAATACGTACGACCAGTACTGTACTCTATTTCAGACAGTGAATTGGATGACTGTAGTGCTGACTCAGCAGAAAGATTGATCCGAAAGAAATGAGTGCAATCCAAAAGCAAAAAGGGGGAAATATTGTTTCCCCAAATTGGCTAGCCTTCCTGTACTGTGCCATACGCTGGATGCTACGGTATCAGCTACCGGTACGGTATCAGCCAAGCTACGAAGGTACTCGTACTCAGAAATTTGGCTCTTGCCCCGGCTTACCGTTTTCTTGCACCCCTGAGAATGACTTCAACAAGAGAAGAAAGCTCTTGTTCCTCATGGTGCCACCAGTGTGCCAACTCATCGAAGTTTTGTGCCACACACGCCAACGTGGCGATGTAACCAGCTTCTTTGGCCAGCTGATCTTTTCAGACACCACAACCATATTGCCCAAAAAGAAACTGTGTACGAATGCTGCGCGTTGTTGGTGCCGCTTGATAAATTCAACTTATGGACCACAATTCTTTTCCACTTGTCAAAGGCTTCTCTGGGGCAAAAAGGGCAATTTCAAAGTGCCAACATCAACCACCAAAACATCAAATTGGGCACAAAAGGACGTGTGCGATGCGTTGGATCAATCTTGCGGCGGTTGCGTCATTTCGTTCTTCCTCCCAGCAAGCTCCCACAACCCACAACACCTTGGCTCGATCGGAAGGTCAAAGCCACACAGGGTGGGTGCGCACATTGACGTTGCCTTCCGAGTCTTTATGACTAGCTAGTAGCCAGCTGAGAGGTTTTGGGTTCTAATAAAATAAATGTTTGATTTCTTGATGAATCTGCTGGAAAGCTGACTTGCATCATCACAACTGCAGCAGCAGCCGCTAGCCGCACCATGAATACTGCCACTGCTCCTAGTACTACTGGTACTCGTACTAATACTGCTACTAGTGATGAAGGAAGTGCCGAGTCACCTCTTCTGTTTGCTGACGATTTGATTTGGATTGGCCAGATTCTGCGTTTTGTTGGTGTTGGACAGTACGCTTTTGTAGGAGCTGTCAACAAGAAGATGAATCAACTGTACAAAGAGTACTGCAAAATTGAACTACAGAAATTCCCAAGAAAGGTAAAGATTAACCCTGGGCGGTATTCTCCCAGTCGCTCTGCAGAAACCACCGACACTCTTTGCAGCCAAACATTCTGTAACCTGATACGTGCAGAATACTGGCTCAAGGACAATTCCAAAAATAAAAAACCTGATCGTGCTCATGTTTGCAATGCCATTGCCGCAGTTGGAGATATTATGGTCATGAAATGGGCACGGAAACAGCGATTCCCAAGGAATGCAGATGTATGTGCTGGAGCGGCTCTAAATGGTCATTTGGTAATGCTCCAGTGGTTAAGGAAGAATGGTTGTCCATGGAATGAAGATACATGCTCAGGTGCTGCTCAAAACGGACATTGGAAAATTCTGAAGTGGGCTCATGAAAATGGTTGTCCATGGACTGCATATACCTGTTCCTATACAACTCAAAATTTGAAAGTTTTGAAGTGGGTTCGTAAAAATGGTTGTCCATGGAATGAAGGGACATGTATCTATGCTGCTCAAAATGGACATTTGGAAAGTTTGAAGTGGGCTCGTGCAAACGATTGTCCATGGGATCAAGCAACATGTTCCTCTGCTGCTCAAAATGGACATTGGGGAGTTTTGAAGTGGGCTCATGCAAATGGCTGTCCATGGGATAAATCAACATGTGCCTCTGCTGCTCAAAATGGCAATTTGGAAATTTTAACTTGGGCTCGTTCAAATGGCTGCCCATGGAATGCAAGTACATGCATCTGTGCTGCTCGGGAGGGCCATCTTGAAATTTTGAAGTGGGCTCATGAAAATGGTTGTGAATGGGATGAACAGATATGCGAGGCTGCTGCTAGAAATGGGCATTTGGCAATGCTCCAATGGTTAAGAGAGAATGGTTGTCCATGGAATGCAAGTACATGTGAGACTGCTGCTGCAAATGGCCATTTGGAGATTTTAAAGTGGGCTCATGAAAATGGTTGTCCATGGACTCATTGGACATTTCAATGGGCCAGAAGAAGCGGAAGCAGCAACAAAAATGAAGTGATCCAGTGGCTGCGTGACAATGGCTGCCCTGGGTCTGGTGATGAAGGGCACTAATATGTCAACTTCATTTAATAAATTAAGGTCCCCACGCAAACTAAAGATGGGGGGCTGCTGTATGTATCTATAGTTTGTCAATGTTGACTGATGGTCAGGCACGCGCTGCTTTTCATTGTTTTCTACCATGCTTGCTTACCAGCCGCTCATGAACCTTACTTCAGGTCTTCTGGAAATCGCCCGAGGGGTACCTGATGCAGGTGTCCCTTCAACGCAAGGAAATCGTTGGTTGCATTCTACGGTTTGTCATGGTGCTTTGGTTGAAACGTGGCAATGCTTGGCTATCGCCCGCTTCTTGCCAGATGGGTGTGAGGGCAAAGTGGAAAGTATCACAGTGTTCTTTAATGCCCTCCCCGAGACACCTAGAAAAAGTCACACCCCATCCTATTTCTCTCGTAGCTAGGGACCGACAAAGCCTCGAAATAGCCACGCAACAGCTGCACAACATGCATGTCCACGTGAACATTTGGTTTTCATGCCTAGCTGCTCACAATCCATCGCCTCGTAGCCCTTCACGTTCCCTTGTTTGCCCCGTTCCCCCGCCACCAATCAAAACCAGAGCACTGCTGCTCCAAGCAAGCTTCTGAACGTTCCAAAATCGCATGAGCCAGGAGTTTGCCATACACGCCATGATAGAGCAGCCCACGACTACTCAAGCCGGTAAAGATCCAGTCATTGCTCGACTGCAACTGACCCACAATGGGCAATCGTCCACGACTTCCCCGTTGACTTTGCACTCGCGTTCCATCCGTATTGCGTTCCACGACGGCAGAAGAATCATCCCAAATATGAGGACAAAAATGTTCGGTTCGTTCCTGGAGTTCTTGCTTCACTTGTTCCCGTGTCAGGGGTTGGTCCCTGTCAAATTCATGCGTCGCCCCCACCAAGATGAGGTCCGAATCGGGCAATGGTGACACGTACTTGCCACTCAACAGGGCCTGTTGTCGATTGTTTGTAGCTGGCTTGAGTCGAATTTCCACGGATTGCCCACGTACGAGCTGCACGGGAAGTTCTTTGCTGTCTACATGTCGTAGGAGGGAATCATCCAACAGGCCTGCTCCGGCCGCCCACACGGTGGCATCGTAGTCGGCGGTAGAGTCAGTTGTTACATCCTGCTGTTTCCATTCTACCGACAACAAGGCTGAATTGGAATCACGGATTGATTGACAAGCAGCCCAAACACCTTGCAAATACGATGGTACATGAAGGACTTGACAGCCATTGAATAGTCGCAATCCTCCCAAACAACTACTGCTCGACACGGCAGTGTTCTGAAACAGCTCCTCGGGGGTCATCCATTGACACAAGGACGGTAGTTCGTGGGCCGTCTGTTGCAGTTGATGGCTTGCTTGGCAGAGGTTGCCACTCGATAAAGTTCGGCGTAATACAATGCTATTAGTATTGGGGTTGGCTTGGCAAGCTTGCTGTACCAAATGCTCGGTAGCCCGGACTCCTTCCACACCCAAATAGACCAATTTTCCGCGCGGGGAAAGGGGATGGACCAGTCTATAATAAGGAGGAACGATAAAACACAATCCAGTCAGGTATACAGTGTTGACATAGAATAGTGAATGCAATCTCCGATTCCAAACTGTCATTGATTCCAAAAAGTCTCAGAGATCTTGGTGATAAAGGTTTGTCGTCATGAGCTAGGCTCAATGAGGAGTAGCAAATATATAGATACATCATTGACCAAAACAAGAATCAACAGCACACATCAAAAACAACAATCAATACATGTAGTACAGCTTGAAGAACGAACAAACGTACCCTCCTGCTACTGCCGATGCTCCTCCCGTGCCAACGGAGTCCTTGTCCAGGATAGTAATCGCAAGTGGTGTGAATAACCGCTGTTCTTGGTGCCGTTCCAACAGGTGAAAGGCCGTCGACAGACCCGCCAGACCTCCCCCCACAATGGCAATTCGTTCCGGCGGTTCACTAACAATATCATGTTGAGAGGACGACCGGACCACGCCAAGTCGACGAGGAAAGAAGAACGGTCTTGGGATTGGAAACGCCCGCAATGAGGGTATCCACAAAGCAGCAGCAACCATCATCGTGAGAACAAAGCCGGCTGGAAACACCATGCCTCAAGCCTTCCAGCCGCCACAGAGCTATGAATACATATACAGAGACATGGACATCGCAATCATTTTTGTGGCCGCATTATCATTTTACAACACTCGGTCGTCGAGAGAAAAATAAATGAGTGGTCTTGGCGTCAAAAGAGGATTGCCAAGGATCCTGGTGTGGCAGAGTAACCTTAGCTCTAAACCCAACGGTTGCACAGTTGCCCTCAAACCCCAGAATCCCAATCAAGGGAACGAACACAACCCACTCCTCCTCACCTCCAACAACCAACACCACCATGACGATCCTGTGCCTTGCCATTGTTGGAAAGAACAATGAACCGCTCTACCTCTGCGACTGTGATTTTGATAAGGAAAACAAGGAGGATTCCGCCGTGAACGAAGACGATGATATCTTTGGATTTGCATCGGAAACGACCAAAGGAGCAGAGAGCGCGCTGTCTCTGGACAATGAGGTAAGATCCGCCCTGAGGGTATCCTGAAACTCTTTTTCTGCCTTTCCTCATGGTATTCATTCCTCCTTGACTTTTGTTTTCTCTACTAGTTCCTCATGTACGCCGCTTTGGATTATCTGGAAGAAGCCTTGGGGATTCATCCCGGATTGCCCTCACGCCGCCAAACGGGGTCGCACTGGATTGGGTATCTCTGTCCCATGGGGGATGCCAAATGCTATGGATATGCCACGGCGACCAATGCCAAATTCATTGCCATGGCCACCAATGATGTTTCGGAGTCCAAACTCAAAATTTTGTTCAATAGCTTGCACGATCTCTACGTCAAACACACCATGAATCCATTTTCCAAAATTGGAGGCAAGATTGTCTCGTCCCAAAAATTCAGTCAGGGAGTCAAAGATGCCGTGGCGGAATACAAGAAAAGTATCAATCAAACGTAGCTACAAGTCTATACATACTCATATATTAGTAAGTAATTGGTCTATCTGTAGGAGTTATTCTATATCGTAGGCAAACCATGGTATCATCGTCCATTGGCGGAGTGCGTTTCTGCACAACTACTGTAGCTAGCTAATGTTGGCTCTTTGTTGATTGATGTGATTCCGTAATATGGTACCGGTACAACGTTCCACCTCCAATGATTCATGAACCTTATTTCAGATGAGGTGTTGCGGCTGCCGATGTGTTGGTTGGAGTCCAACCATGGGGAAGTCGGTGTCATTGGGGAATGAGTTGCAACGGATGTGTCCTCCACAAAAAGGCAAATTGTTGTTGTGGGCGAAGATTCCTGTTTGTGCCCGGGCACGTATTGATGCGTTGCTTTGAGAGAATAACTACCAGTCTGGGAAGATGATGATATCCTCTTCCTCCTCGTCTGGGTCGGCTCTATTCGTATTGGCAGCGTCCAACCACCCCCTCATCTCGGTCCATACTTTGGAACTGACAGAACTGGCCGTGACCTTTAACTTGGCGAGATTCTCTGCCACCATTTGGTCAACTTGTTCCTCCGATAACCCAGGGTCACCCTCCTCATTCTTAGTATTCTGGATCTTGTCCAACAACTTGCCTTTGAACTTGCCCACCGAATGAGTTTCCAGATCCGAAGCGTACGACAGGACGGCCGCTTTGGCCGACGACCACAAGACTTTGGAATGATTGGCCACTCGGCTGTTGCTGCTGTTGGTGGCAATGTCTTCCAAGGCATACTGCAATGCCTCTTTGAGTTTGGCACCAAACAAGGATCGCACCACTTGATAGACTTGGTCGGACGTACACCCTTTCGGATCATTGGCTTCTGCCAGGGCCTGAATTTTGTATTTGAGATCCCGCATGGACCGTAAGTCCAAGACAAGATCATCCGGGAGAATGGTTTTGTTCAAGGGTCGCGATCGCGTTTGCAACGACACGCGACCCTGCAAATCCAAGCTACCAATGCGAATGAGTTCCGAATCGGACGAAGAAGAAGTTGTTGTGGTTGTTGTATTGTAGTACACCAATTCGGGAGGAAATCCCAAATCATTGAGCTCATTCCTAATAATAAGACACACAAAAAGAAGGTAAGAAAGGAATAGAGACAGGAGCAGTGGGCTACCCATACATGATGTATGTACATACCAATTATTGCGGGTCAAAAAGAGATTTGTAAATTCCACCAGGATATCGACGTCTTCCACTTCCACCTCGAGACAGGGCTGACTGTAGGAATCCCACGTGACATGGAGGCGTCCAATTCGCAAGGCAGGAATGTTGTGATTGCGATTGCGATCGTGTACTGTAAAGTTGTGCACCACGAGCTCTCGGCGGACCACATTCAGTTGGGCTTGATCGCAATGCAGGAGGTTTCCCAGTTGTTCCAGTTTCGTGTCAAAGAAAAATCCCGCTGCCTTGATCAAGAGGGGCATCCAGTGGGAGGGATCCACAGTCGCATAGGATGACGCTAATGCTGCCGAATGTGTGGGAGGTGAGGACCATCCGCCGCTACTGCGAGGCCATGGACCCATGGCACGGACCGGAAGAAACCCATCGTGAAGAGATGGCGAGGCCAGTACCAAGCAACTGATCAGAATGGTCCTTTTAGAGATCATCATCTTGCTCCAAAAGACAATATGTATTATTATGGGAAGGGATGCTAGGAACGATCAATCACAGACTCGACTCGACTCGACTCGATAGGAAAGAAGATGGGATAGATGACATGGAGTCAGGACAAGTTACAGTGATTGGGACCAGCGTCAAATGGAATATTTGGAATTCGAAAGAAATCGGGACTCCATTCACCAAAAGGTAGGTTTGGTAAATATTGAAACAAATGTTTTCAAGTTTACCTCATCTACTATTCATTTGTATGAGAAGTCAAAAAGTACTACTCGTGATCTAACGCTGGTTGGAGTTCGGCGGCATGAAGCCTCCACTTTTTGCTTGTTATTCAATTCAAGCCAAACAGCAAACCGCACGACCTTCCGAGAGCCAACCCTTGTGGAGACGGTTCAAGGAGCTTCACCAGTGAACTCCCTCACAAAAAGCAAACAAAACAAACAACAACAAGCAAACATCAAACCTTATAAGAACCAACAAAAATGGAACCACGTAGAGTTATGAGATCCATCTCACGATCCTTGAAAGGAAGACGTACTCGAACAGTGGACCTGAAAACGTTCGAAGCAGAAGAAGCGTCACGGCAACCAAGAAACAAGGGCAAAGATATTCCAAGCGCCATCCATTTAACTCCCAATTCCAGTCATGCGGTAGCTCAGTTTCGTCCAGATGAAATCCTGACGGGCAACAAACTTCCTTTGGAGGATACAGAACGCCACGGTAAGGCCAACTGCAAAAGTCGGCCAAACTTTCGATTCCACGATGTCCTGGCCATTCGCGAGATGCACAATATGACAGTAGATCACACGGAAAGCATGTCTTGTAGCGAGCATGATGATGACAGTGTGCTTCGCGAACGTCATCATCACGACGACGATACGCTAAAGACGGCACGGGACATGGTGCGACTGCAGGCAGCCGAGCTAGCCCCGGGACAGTCGCAAGATGGCAACAAGATCTTGGCCACAAAAAAGCCACTCCACAAATACATGATCAAACGAGTGTATCGACACAAGTCCAGTCCACAACAGCAAGTGCAGGCGCTGAAACACTTGGTACAAGAAACCACTATTTTACAGCAATTCACCAGCCACGGGCACCACAACCTCATCACACTACGAGGCACCCCCATGGAGGAGGACTACGGTAATTGGAAAACCTACTTTGTCATGACGGATCGGATATCGGAAACTCTAGCCCAGAGAATGCATCGGTGGAGGAAGGAAGCGGCCGCCCCGAAGCCCAAAGGCAGGTTCTTTCCGTATCGCACTTCCAGCAGAAAGACATCTCCCATGAGCACTGCACTTGCGTTGGATCCATCCAATCCTCGCTTCCGACAAAAGCTAGTGTATGCACAAAACTTGGCTAGTGTCTTGGCATTTCTGCATTCCAAACACATTGTGGTCCGCAATCTACATCCCGAGTCGATTGGATTCTTGGCGTCGGACGATACCTTGCAGCTGATGGACCTGGGACAAGCCATGGAAATTCGTCACAACACGGACAAACACGGCAACCCTAATCAGAATCTCCATCACAACGTTTCCAGAGCAGCGGGAACTCTTCTGCATCAACAACTTGAGCTCTCCCTGTTTCAAATGACACCTGGTCAAGGTGTCTACCGCTACATGGCGCCAGAACTACTGACAACCATTCATCCCTCAGACGAGGACAGCACTCCAGCTTCTAGGAAGAACCTTCCGTATGGCTACAAAGTAGACTCGTATAGCTGGGCAATGATCTGTTTTGAGCTCTTGACACTGTCAACTCCCTTTGCCGTCATGAAGGCGGGTCAGCACTTGCGACAGGTTTGCTTGCATCGGCCCGGAGCCCGTCCTCATCTGGAACTCTTGGGGTTGCCACAGCATTTGGAACATTTGTTGCAGCGATCATGGCACGATCATCCGGAACGACGTCCGGCAATGTCAAAGATTGACGAAACCTTGCTAAGGTATCTTCAGTGAATGAATGAACTGGAGGAGCTAGAAACCTCTATCCGGTACATACTAAAGTAGGCTTTGAAAACAAGCTATAGTTCTGCCTCAATCAAACTTTGTGTTTCTACAATGATGTCATTGCAAACACGTAGAACTAGGTACCTATAGAGTACTGCAACCCGCAGCGCCTGCAGCTGGTGAGATGCGCGTCCGTCCTCAGATGAAACAACACTTCCCGAAGCCCCATCGACCTTGCTGACTGGCAAGACCAGGATCTTATATCCTTTGCCGCCAACCTTTTCTTTTCTTTGAAGCCTTCTCCTGTGCCTGCCAAGGGATTTCCTTCTTGTGGCGGTTCCAGTCAGCAACCTGACAGGCCTGGCAGCACTGAAGAGTGATGAGAGGGGTGCACCACAAGGAAGACCATCACAAATCTTCTACTGACTTACATCTCCAGTACTTGCAAGGGAAGGTCTTCATCAGGCACGGTGTAAGGTTTTTTTAAGGCAGACACTTCAGCTAGTTTTCTTTTTTTGACACAATTTTCATATTTTTGCCACCAAAGAAGATCCTCGGAATTCTCAAAAAGATCTCGGCAGGAGCGCCCAGCCTGGAGGTTTCAGAAGAGCACATACAATCTATCTAGCCAGCTTGTGCTCACCATGTCGGCAACACCTACACCACTACTTGCCTTTCAGGTGGAGACTCTGTTTCAAAGCTGTCATCACATTCAACCATCATTTTGGCATGCCTTTTGCTATGGCTTTGGCGTCGCAGCGGCCTTTGTCGGATCCCTCTACATACTTGTTCCTTCCCGTATCCGACGATTGGATCGAGATGATCCCTTGCACATCCAATGGCGCACCTTTGCCACGAGTGTAGTGTGTCTCGTGTCTATTCTGGTCTATCCTTGGAGCTTTTGTGCGGATTCATCCAGTGAAGGTGAAAGTGTCCTGGTCCGACTGGGATTGTGGCCCAGTCAAGGAACTGGATTATGGCACTTTTTCTTGGGTCCATTGGCGCATTCCGTGCTACTCTACTTGGGTCCTATTACGATGCTGTTGTTGCAAGCCAAACTCATGGCCGAATCCACGGCAGACCCATCCGCCATGGACTACTGGGAAGCCCTAAAGGCAGTCCTCTTTCCCACTCCCTTGGGTCAACCGGCCCCCGAACAATTGGAACGGGAGCGATGGATTAAATTGCGCGCCAAAGTGATTGCACCCATTTTAGAGGAAATTGCCTTTCGGGGATGTCTGATCCCTCCTCTCTTGGCGACGGGTCTCTTTCATCCTGCAGCGGTGGCATGGATTGCCCCACTCTTTTTTGGTTTGGCCCATTGTCATCACGCTGCCTTGCGACTACAGCAGGGAGAATCTCTACAAAAAACCTTACTCTCCACGGCATTTCAATTTCTCTATACGACACTGTTTGGAGCCTATGTCTCCTTTGCCTTTATTCGCACGGGATCCATTGTGGCGGTCATTTTGAGCCATTCCTTTTGCAATACCATGGGACTACCTTCGGCGGCCTTTTTGGATCGAAGATCCAGTCTCTACAAGTATCATATTGATTTGGTAAAGGCATATCTCTTGGGTGTCGCCATTTTTGTCTGGGGATTCTTTGATCCACTGGCTACCTTTTTGCCACGGAAATAATGAAGGAATTGAATCATCTTCCACACCACAAAATGCTTTGCCCAAAAAGGGAAACGATACGACAACAACACTGCAAACACCGTGCGAGCATGTGGAACACTAGCAATATGGCCAACAGACGGAAGCGGCCAGTAATCTGAGGGGCTCTCCTGGGGTTACGTCCATGGTTACAGACATCATTCGGTGAGAGCCCAGTCAACATAGCTAGAACACGAACAATGAACACCAGAGTTGGCAAACGAATCACAGACCAAAGTTTGCCACAGTTTTGCCGTGAACCGTGGAACCTCTATTATTTGAAGGTTTACGAAAAGCAACAAGCAAAAGGCTGACACGACCGCCATGCCTTCTCTTGCCAAGGTACAAAGCTTCGTTGTCATCGAGTTCAAGGCAGAAGGTTGTCATGACATTGCCAAAATATAACGTCGTGGCCAAGTGCAACCATGAGATTTCAAGAGTTGCTCAGAATCTCGTACTCGATACGCAGTGGACGTGCCGCATACCGGTAATCAGACCATGAATAATTGTTGAGACCCCCCACTCATCATGTCTAAACCCCTCCACCAAGTCAATTAATTGTACCGGTACCGCGAACGAATCGATGCCGGACAAATCCCAGTGGTGCAGTAATCGACACTGCTTCAGAAGTCACACGTCCAAACTTCAGCTCACGTTCAAACATCGTGTCCGTTTGCCGGACGCAGCTGCATCTTTTCGCTCCTCTTGCAACCGTCTGGAAAACTGCTGGGAGCACATGAGTCGAATCCTTTGCTTGATTGAGCCCCAACCAAGAAAGATGACCAGGCACGGAAGAGGACGGATGGAAAACTAGTTTGTACTTGAGGTTCTGGCTAGACTATAGTATAATTTTGGGGGTTGAGTCAATCTTTATGTTGTTATGAGGTGGTTCTATTGTTTCGAATGTCATTCATTGACATGAAAGGTAGCACAAACGGAAGACACCAGACATTCTGTGATCAGCAGGCGGGATGAAAAGGCACTGCTTGGTTCATGGTGTACTCCGACGTTGTTGTAGTGTAGTATGAAAATATGAGTTTGATTGACTTGATGAATGGTAAAGGGGTGCAGGGGTAGCATGCAGCGATCTAGAAGTCGACGCGCAAGGGCTTGTTAGCAACGTTTCCGTAGCGTGAGCTGCTGTACTTCTTGTTGACCGAAAGCAAATCCAAGGACAGGCCAGACTTTTCTTCCAAGAGAGCCTGAGCAACAGGCTTGACTTCCTCTTCCAGGTATTGAGAGTACTTGAGAAGAGTAGGACTCCAAGGGTGTCGATTGCATGCAACTCGGGCCACGAACACTGCTGCTGCCGCCAACTCACTGGGAAGGTATTGCAACAAAGAGTACGAAAGTAGTGTTCCATCCAACAGGTAGCACGCCAACTGGGTCATTTCCTTGTCGGCATGAGCGGCCTTGAGGTATCGGACCAGAAATGTTTGAGCACTTGGTTGCGTGATTTGGTATTGAAGGACTCTCAAGACTTGAGTCTCCATCTTGATAATCTGGGGACGAGTGTAGGCATTGTCGCAAATGTAGACGAGCTCTTGGACGGCTGGAGGCCAGATCTCTTCGTACTTGGAAGCAATCATCAAGCATGTGACACCCAACAGCTGAAGATTGCTGCGCACAACTTCCCGACGTTCCAGATAGCGGTCAATAAGGTTGATGGTCAAATAGAGAGTCTCAGGGGAGAGCTTGAACTTCATGTGAACTTCCACCAGCCAATCCACAAGGATAGATCGCATCTTCTCGTTGATGTGAGGTTGATTCTCCTCCATGTACATGGGTAGCACTGCTGTTGTCTTTTCCTTCTCGCGAAAGTGAGCGAACATGCCTTGGACGTAGTCAGTAACAAAGAGTGGATCTTCCGCAACACGAGCATCAATATCATCAGTCTTGCCAGTGAATTGGTAGCTATTCTTGTTGACCCGACTGTTGTTGGCTGCAGCATGAGTGATCTCCAGGACAGTGTCGCTGCTGCTGACTTTGGGAGCTTCAATGGGTAGTAGTGGATTGCGCTGCTGTTCCTTGGGAGCCTCCTGGATTTCCACCGCCTGGAATGGTTGAACGGATGCCTTGGACGACCAACCGAACACTGACTGACTGGGTACCGAACCGTTTGCTTTCGCGTCATTGTTGATCGGCTGGGCACTTGGCTGCGTCGGTTTCGACGAAAGATTGCTGAACGAATGAAGGGATGTCTGGGGATCGACGGCAATCTGGATTCTAGGAGCTTGTTGGGGCTTTTGCGTCTTGTTGAGTCCACCGTGCAAACCCTGCCGAGCCTTGGCATTCATGTTAGCCTTAGCGTTCGTGACATCCTGTAGAGAAGCAGGCGGAGGAGAGAAACAAGTAGGTGAGATAATGATGTTCGAATGGATACATTTTCGAGACAAAGACTGCGGATCTAAGCACTTACCCGAAAAGCACGTCGTCCATTGTTGCCAGTGGCATTGGTCAAGCTGTTGGTTGTCGTGGAGGCGACCTGGGTAGTACCAAGGTTGCCGTAGTAGTTGTTGCCGTATTTGGAGAACATTGTCGATGAAAGAGATGCGTAGTAACTGTAGAGAGAGAACGAGAATGTGCTTTACAAATGTGGAAGACGTCAATTGTGAGTCGAGTGAGAGTTTCTTGGTCTTCGCTCATTCTTTTGCCTAAAATATCAAACAAAACCAAACATTAGCGAGGAAAATGAAGGGAGAAACGGATTTGATTTCAAAAACCGGGAGCGCTCTTTGATGGTGCGTTTTACTTTAAATACATAACTACCAAATGTGTCGTAGAAAGTTGTGATGTTAGTTATTATGTTCTCCTTCTGTTCTAATTACTGAATTGCTCTTGTGCGGGCGCGCGAAACACGAATCTTCTTCACTTTTTCATCCAGTTTGATGTGAACATCAGCGATTTCGAAATCAAATGAAGAGAAACGCCCACGGGATACACGAAAGCTCGCTAGATGGGTAGGAGAAACGACAAATATTTTGAAATGATCGGATCATCGCCTACAAAGTATCTGAAACGGTTGCGTTTGAGTTTGATGTATTGGCTTCGGGTCTCAAACGAAAGGCACATCAAATGAGTTTCAATCTCGGATTGCAAACCTGATGACGGTAGCGGTCCCACTTCACTGTACGGTCCGGTTGGATTTGATGTCAAACGATGCTTTGAGTTGGATCCTACTTTAGTGGTTGACTACGGGGGTCTTTTGTCGCAAGCCCTCTTTTAAAACAGCAGTCGTGAGACAGCGGGCGGAGTGCGGTAACCGCGGGTAATGCAGGACTGTTTCGACGATGGAGGTTCTGGCTAGCAATTAATAATGCTGCGCTGAGTCCAAGGGAGGTTAGAATTAATTGATGGCTAGATAATGCTAGTTCGAGAAGTTCCTCTTCTTTCTTAGCCGGATCGCTGCGCTGCGCTACGCGTGCAGCAACGCAAACAAGTTCACTGTGTAGTTTATGAAAACACTTGGGCTAGGCTACCTAGCTATTGTGTACAACACGTATTAGCTCGTAGGTTACTAGAGCACTTTCAAACCCAGAGCTTCAAGGCACTCAAGGCGGACCTCCCCTCGTTCACACTGCAGATTCGATCAACCTCAGAGCTTCAATGCACTCAAGGCGGCCCTGCCCTCCTCCCACAGTGTCATCAGGAGAGGCGACGGAGGTGCTCTGCTCGAACGGTACCTACGAGCGCTCAAGCCTCTCGTCTAGCTAGATCGCAGTATCACTTTTGTTGGATACACCTTGTAGAATATCTGCATGCTTCAGAATGCATACAAGAAAGGACAATGAGGAGAGATCCCGCAGGTACTTGAGCCAAACGAAAAAAAGGTGCCGTGGACTTCGCTGCAGGACTGTGCCTCCTGCGTGGCTATTGCGACCATGTGCCTACGACTACTGCAGCTTTTTGGAGGTCTGGTTGTCTGGTTGTCTGGTTGGTCTCTACAGATATTACAACGTGTAGTAGTGACATTTCTCGAATTTCCATCCCAGTGGCTGTTCAATGGCTCCATACCTCAGAGTGGCAGTACACTTTGAAATAGTGGCGGGGTGAAAGAAAACGGTTCATTGAAGCAACCGGAGCCGCTCGGCTGGGGTACATGTACAGGTACACCAGGTAGCCTCATGGGCCCAAACCTCGTTGTGTGTTTCCTGAGCTAGTTTCTCACGATGACAACAAACGAAGCTGCAAGCGATTGTTTATCTGCCGCGAGGCATGGTTTCTTTGGTTGGTTGTACATCGCTGTCAACAAACGCTGAAACTGAGTGTTGGCACAATCGCACCATATATATATCTAATAGCTACGAATCGGACAAAGGTATTTTTGCTGACACCGTTGATCATGCTCAAAAGAGTCACATTAGACTTAAATTACCAAACGGCAGGTTTCAATGCATGGAAGAGCCCCATGAAATGTTGCATCGGAATGGTCTACTCCGAACAAGCCAACCCCACCAAACATAGTTTAATTTCATGGAGGGAGGATCAGACATGCACCGACTTTAATCTGGAAAACATTTCTTTGGGTAACAATGCACCCAGAATGTCCGTTTCGGCTTGCTGTAGTCGTTCCAGTGGGGTACCGTTTCCTTTCGGCAACTTTACAGCGACGCAACGACTAGCCGATGCCAAGTCTTCTCCTTGTTCGTCTTTATCCATGATTTCTCTGGCGAGTCGTTCCCGTTCCGCCGCTTGTCGCAGTTTGCGTTCCTCGAGTGTTTCCTGCTTGGTGGATGTTGTTGTTGTTTCGGCTTGGTCCTCGTCTGCCGCCGCCATGCGGGCCTCTTCGAGTTCCTTTCGTGGCCCCACAAAGTTGGCTCTCATTTCTTCACTGGTTCGATAGGCTTCTACACAGGGACGACAACTAGACGGCAGCGAAAATGTAATCAAGGCTTGATTTCCTTTGCTGCCCATCATTTCGACTTGTTCGACCGTTCCAAATTTGGACGACAACAAAGTGGCCAAACTATGCTCATCCGGACTGATGGTCATCTTTTTGCGACTCCATTTGAGACGCACTTGACGATCTTGCAACAATCGTTCTCGTTGCTTTTTGGCGTGACGCAATTGCTCCTTGGTCTTGTAGTCGTTGGCCGCGGATTGATGGGCGTTACGTGCGGCCATTTTTTGGCGCAAATCGCTTCCTTCCTTTTTTAAATGATCCATTACTTCTGGATCGTGGTCGCTTTTACTGGATTTGGACTTTTTGCGTCCCGTCTTTTTTCGTTCTTCTTCCTCTTCTTCTCCCCGCTGCAATTCGTCTCGTTGTCGCTTGCGCCGTTCCGACATGGTTTGTTGCCGTGCGGCATCGGCTTTTTGTCGTCGCAATTGCGACTTGCGGTTCAAATCATATTTTTCACGCGCTACACGATGCTCGGAGTCCAATAAAAATGCCCGTGCTTCCTTGAGTCGATGGAATTTCGTCGCGATTTCTTCCTGCTCTCGTGGCGTTTTGCGTTTGTTCTTGTCGGGATGTAATTTGAGCGCCACTTTGCGGTATGCCTTGGCAATGGCCGCATCCGAGACATCGGGGTCGACACCCAGCACTTGATAGGGATCGTAGTCTGGCATGCTACTACTATTCTTGGAGGAAGAAGGCATGATGGGGTACTGGTACCAAAAGAAGAGCACAGGAGAGACGACTATCCACAGCTGCGAGGTGTTGTCTGTTGTCTGTATCTGTGGCTGCCTGATGTTGTCTCCACGAAACCTGCTTCAGGAAATAAACCCTAACCTAACTTTCGGCGGAATTTTTGTTCTTTTGAGCAAAATGACCATTTAGTTCAAAGGGATCTGTTATAACAATTCTGCAGAATCCCAAAATTCTGCAGAATTCAGAGAAAATATCTGCAGAAAAACAAATTCTGCAGAATTTTAATTTTTTTCTTCTGCAATTCTGCAGAATTTTATTTTTCTGCAGAATTACGAGTCATAGGCCATTGAAGTCCTGAACCCAGTAAAGACACCACATGTTGTGGCTTTGCTACGCCTGATCAGCCATAGGTAATCACAATTTACTCATGAAACAAGAAGCAAAACTGCATGCTATCTTAGTTAATCTTGCTAGTTTTGCGATCGCGATCTCTGAATGAAAGCTTGTAGCATTATCCTTTCAATTACCACAAATTCAAGAGATTGGATCTAAATCTATTTGCTTTGAAAAATGCCTTTTGTTGTAACTGACAAGTTTGTGGAGCGTCTACGTGGTGGTGGTGGTGATGGTGGCGGCCCAGAAGATGGAAATTGTAGCCATAAGGGGGGCAGTGAACTTGCTGGTGCAACTGCTATTGAGAGTCAAGTTCCTGTTGCTGGCTCTGGCTCAGAAGATAGCAAAAAAGTGTACCGTGCTCTCTTCAACTTTCTAACCTTTGGTATCGAATCTGAAAACCTCCCACCTGGCTACAATGACGATGCAACTGCTTGCAAAAGAACCTCGAAGGAACCAAAGGATAAGTCTCGTAGTAAAGAGCTTGACCAAAACCAGTGGAAGGATATTGTTGATTTCGTGGAAAGTTGGCATGCCGCCAAAAGTAAAAAAGCCAAAACAGCTATCATGAAGCAGAAAGGACAGGGAGGCAAAGGATATCGATTCATCCAGAGATACCGAGTTACTACTATCAATTTACCTGATAACCAAGGAGAGAAAAAACAGTTAGAACGTTATGACACTGTACAGGAGACGGCGCAACTTCAAGATGGTCCTGCTGACGTACCTACCAAGATTGCTCTTCCACAGCTGGAAATATTTGATGCCATTGCTGCTGCTCATGCAATGGGATCAAATAATAAAGCACCAGATCCAATCCATCGTATTCTTTGTCAGACTTATTGGAATGTGACATTGGAGCAAGTGCAACAGTTCATTTCATTGAACCCAATTTCCAATACAACCAAGCCTCGGATTCCCAAACCCGATGGGGCAAGGAAGCCCATTGTGTCGGGTGATTGGCGTGATCGCTTTCAAGCCGATCTCATTAACATGACCAAGCGGCCAGCAAACAATATTCACGGAGTGACCATGAGGTATCTCCTTGTTGTCAAAGATCACTTCTCTCAGTTTGTGCATCTTGCGGCCATTCCCAAAAAAGAAGCCAAGTGCACAAGTATGTTGTCCATGAACTGGACAAATACTTTGCTATTGTTGGTTATCCAAGAATTTTCCATACCGATAATGGCACTGAGTTCACAGCCGAACAGGTGTGTGAGTACTTGAAGATGCTCAATCCAAACTTGTTGCCAGTCACTGGAAGACCTCGCTGCCCAACAGACCAAGGCTCAGTGGAAAGACACAATGGTATTCTGAAGCCACTGCTGGCACTGATAGAAGAGGAAGGACGTCAAGCAGGAACAAATGCCAACTGGGTTCAGCTTTTGCCAAGGCTTCAAGCAACAATGAACTCAAGAATTACAACTCGAACCCAAAATCTCTCACCTTATGGAATTGTATTCGGACGCAACTTTCACAACGACATTACATGTGATGTTAACACCATTCGTCAATGCCGAACCGTTGTAGATATGCTGAATTTGGGAGAAGTTATTTCGCCTCGATTTAAGGAAGTTGCATTGCATATTGAAGATGGATTGGCAAGCAGTATTACTGATAAAAACCGATTCATTTTCATTCCCACAGAAACAGAGAACGAAGCGCCCTTGAAGAAGTCAGCAGAAGCAGATCTGCCACTTGCATCGTTGGCGGCTAGTATGACAAGCAAAACCCATGCTCCAACCAACACAAAGGAATCCAAGACGGAACCAGACCCCGTAGCTTGGCCTGAGCACATAAGCGGAAACAAAAAGCTCCACCCACGTCCTTCATTTTCGGCAGTACCCATCTCGAAACAACAGGAAGGGATATTGACGGCCAAGGCCGCCACCAGCATGACATCGCAGGAAGATTTACTAGCCACCGAAGATTCGTTTGATATGGAGCCATTGCAATTGAAGTCACCACCCATCACACTGAGGCAGAGGGAGGATCCAATCCAAACACCACCAAACCAAAAGCCAGCCACATCATATGAAAGTAGTGAGGTGAAGGTACTGTCGCCAACAAAACAACCCGAAGCAGGTAAAAGCTGTCGCGTCAGTATTGAAGATGCCTTATCAAAGTTCGAAGGATACCACGCTGGTTGCTGGGAGAAGGAAAAATTCAAACCGCCACATGAAAGAACTATTGTGCCAACCTTCCGCACAAAAGTGAAAACCTTGATTGGGACTATAGGTCCATGCCAATCCTGTCCGCTGAGTAATGCTGGAGCAATGGTAATGATTGGAGAAGATTCGTATTGGAAACAGCTAGCTGACCGCCAATCTTGTCACTGGATGGAATATGCTGAGGTGGTATCTTTCTGTAATCTCCTGCATCACACATGTCATCAAAACGAGTTCACCATTTGGTACTACGACAAACACCAGTTGTGAAGGAATTAGAAAGAATGACATCCATGGACGACAAGCTAAACAGACTGCGATCTCTGGACTTACCTTCGCTAAGCAGAGATCATACATCATCCATAATCTACACGATCGCGTATCAGAACAATCACTTCGCTGTTCTGGTAGCTATTCCAAAGAAGAGAACGTTGATTATCATGGATGGCTTTTTTGGAGGTGAATCTGTTTGGGGTGACTGGTTGTTGCTTTTTGTCTTTGCTATCACGGGCGGTGACAGTATTCGACCTGGATTGCGATCTTTGAAAATTAGCTACAGTGACCTCAGGGGTTCTTTTGAGGTAGCAGCTGGAGCAGATTTACATCGAAGTGATCGCCATTGGTACTGCATCACAGCTAGTGATGCAGTCGATCAAACTGGAAACACAACTGAGTGCGGCTTTTTGGCCTGTGCGAACGTGTGGGCTCAAATATACAACTCCAAAGACCAGGATGGGGTTGCTCTCTTGGAGACGTACAAAGCCAATGCTATCAAAGATGTCACTACAATTCGGCCTGCAATAGTCCAAAAATACAAAGGCATGGTGTCGGCATGGAGTGCCGTCGCAGGGCCAAGGGGGCTTCATATGAGAATTCGAGAGTCCAAAAAGAAGGAAAGAAACCCCAATCGATACCAAAAACCAATTCCAAGCTTTCAGTTGCCACTGAATAGTCCGGATGGGCCCATCCACTCCCCCACAACACATATAGTAGAGACTCTGTCATTAGATGGAAAACCAAGTCCGATCGTGGCAATACTCAAAAAGAAATTATGGTAAGCTCAGCAGGGAGGGATCTACGTAGACAAGAATGTCAACAACAGCGAACAAACGTCAGAAAGACCAAGCTGAAGCAATGAAAAAGAGGTACAAGGCTTCTCTACCTGACATCCAGCTGGGGACAGCTGTCAAGGTCAAAGTGCATAGCAATGATATTCATCAAAGCAATGGCGTACCTGGTATTGTCTTCAAATGGACACCATCCGGTGGAGTTCAAATTATCACTTCAGTTGGTATTGTTACGAAGCAATCCAACAAGCCATATATTATTCCAGCCAATCAATATCTGGTCCTCCCTGATGATGCTGTTGCCGTCATGCCAGAATTGGCAAAACTCCAAACCGATGTTAGAGCTTCTAGAGGTGTCTTAGATCGAAGCGTGTATCCTTCCATTGGGCTGGTGGCTGCACATCAAAAGCTGTACGAGCGGGAAAGAGCTGCCCCACGCAAATGCAAATGTAAAAAAGGCTGTTCCAAAGGCTGTGGCTGCAAGAAATTGGAGATCAGCTGCAGTAGTACTTGTGGATGCGGCGGATTCTGCGACAACCCTTTCAACTGCTGATCCGCAACTCAAATGGCATTCAAAAGTATTGATAGCAGTAACATAAAGTATCGTAACCAGAGATATATCACAGTATCGTAGCACAGTATCGGCATCGTCATCCTGGTTGCATGTTGATTGTGAATGGAGATCTTCTTTGTGCCATGTTCTTTTGTAACTGACGCCCGTTGCATATTTTATGTACGGTCCAGGCTAAATTATGTATGCAGCTGTGCTGGCTAAAATGAGAAATTGTCAAGATACCATTCGAGTACAGTAAGGTAGTCACAGTAAGGTAGTCGATGTTGGAAATGTGAGAAGAAAATTATGGGTACATTACTGAAGATGCAGTCACCACAGCAAATGAAGAACACCAGATTCGATTTAATTAAAAAGGAGTTCACAATGGTAGCAGAGAACAGAATTGGGATCTTTTAAAAGGAGACCATGATGGGAGAAAAATAAGATGGCATAGCCTCCGGCCTAGCCCGAAGGCGGCATCAAACACTGGAGCCCGAAGGCGGCATCAAACACTGGACTTATTCATTTCGGTTGTTGTGGTTTCGTTGATAGAAGAAGAAAAATGAAATAGCCTCGGGTAGCCCGAAGGCGGCGTCAAACACAGCTGTCAGTTTGGTTGTGGTTGGTTGGTAGTGGTAGTCGGTCCGTAGTGGCGTCGGTAGCGTCAGTAGGATAATGCTAGCTGTTGTTGCCAAGAGTCTTGCCCCTACCGAAGTAGGCACTGACTTCAAGGCAAAATAGCGCAGCCGTCCGTAGTGGCGTCAGTAGCGTCCGTAGGACAATGCTAGCTGTTGTTGCCAAGAGTCTTGCCCCTACCGAAGTAGGCACTGACTTCAAGGCAAAATAGCGCAGCCGTCCGTAGTGGCGTCGGTAGCGTCGGTAGCACAATGCTAGCTGTTGTTGCCAAGAGTCTTGCCCCTACCGAAGTAGGCACTGACTTCAAGGCAAAATAGCGCAGCAATCAAGGGAGTAGTAGTTGTTGTTGTTGTTGTTGTCGTTGTTGTAGTAGTAGTAGTAGTAGTAGTAGTAGTGTCATTTGTTGGTGGTGGTGGGTAGCAGTAGTGGTAGTCCGTCGGTAGTGCCATCATTGCTGGGTGAGTCCACTGGTCGGCGGTTGATTGTTGGGTCCCAAGACTGCTGACACTACTAATGCTCCAAGAAGTGGTCAGTAAATTGAATCGTGGTAATGGCTGTGTAGCTAACGCAAAGTAGACAGTAGTAGCTATGCTCAGATTATCCATTGGTTATGTATTGGGTGAGTAATTGTCATCTGAATTACAGATTGGAGAGGCGTCGGTGTTTTTTTGCTGTTGTTGATGGGAAGAAGTGTTGGTGGATTTTTTGTGTGGAGGGAGTTGCCTCCAAAGATGGCCGCCTGGCAGAGTGAGAGAGCAAGCCCTGAGATTCAAAATCCAGGTCATTGAAAAGAACAGCCTGGATTGAAAAAGAGCCTGGATTGATTCTGCAGAATTGGGTGGTCTGCAGAATCGGTGCAACAGATCCCCCCATGCAGACTAGACGTCTAAGCATGAGGGAAATTGGAGCGAATACGGTACTTGAGAAGGTGAGATAGGTTATTATACCGTTCGTATTACAGTCGTCAAGGGGCAGGGGTCAGATAGATGACCCCTGTGCCTGCTTGGAAACATGAATCTTTGGAAGGCTGATCAAACGATCAAACATCCATGTTGAGCTCGCTTATGTTTAAATGTTGTGACACACTTCAAAACCATTTATTTTTAAAAAATCCATGGGCTTATTTTCACAGTAGTTACAGTGGTGTTCTTTACGGAAACTCCGTTTAATTGAGTTAAGGTCATAGGGTCATTGAAAGCAGTCTTTGACCGAAGTGGGTCTCTTCTCTTTTCGATTATTTAGGAGGAGAGGAGCTCTCGACTCAAGTACTGCAAGGTCCGGAAACATGACTTGATTTGATTTTGACAGTTTCACGAGTCGTGAAAGTAGTTTCACAAGTGTGAAATTGAAACGTTTTTCCGTGAAACTAGTTTCACAGGTGTGAAACTAGGTGGTTTTCTACGGCGAATTTTCACAAATTCGTGAAACTAGTTTCACAGCTGTGAAACTAAAACACTAGTTTCACGGAAATGTGAAACTAAAAACGTGAAATTGAAACTACAGTTTCACGACATGTGAAACTAGGCCGTTTCCGGACGTTGCTGGTACTTATATTTCGGAGCAACTTTCCTTTCCCACTTGGACCTTGGAGCGACAAAAAGTACCGGTACGATGGTACGATGTACCGGTACCGGTACCAAGTACCGTACCATACCAGGTAGCTCAAAAACCTTGCAGTTCACCCAAGTTCTTTCTCGGAAACTCCAGTATCGGTAAGGTCATTGGTCATTGAAAGAAGTGGTTTGTTGGTTCTGTCTTACTCGTAGATGAACCTATTCCTTATCTCATCCGTGACTTCTTCAGCCGTTATATCTTTAGCCGTTACTGGTTCAGCCGTTATTGCTTCAGCCAGCCCCGCGTCTTCACAGCAGAACTTGACCACGGGTGAAAAGATGCTCATCGGCGTCGCCAAGGAAGTCCCCGCACAGTTTTGATTGTGTCAATGAGAGGCCCCCAAAAGCACGCACCTTAAGGTTTTGAGTTTCAAGGGTATCATGCATATAATATGTATCGTACGTATTGTATGTATTGTACATATTGTATGTATCGTACGTATTGTACGTAGCATACGTATCGTACGTATTATACATATTATACGTGCGAACGTGGACCAATGAGAACTCCCTTGATCAGCAGCAGCCATTTTTAAAAAAGCACACCAACAACAAAAACCACACCAACAACAAAAACACCACTATCCACACTTCTTCTTCTCTCCTCTTGTTGCTCCTGCTATTGTTGCTTCTGTTGTTATTCAGCTATCACACCATCTCTACCACTACTATCAGGTACATTTACTCAGCTTCTTGCTTGTAAAATGGTCAGAGAGAGTGGCTATTCATCAGATGAGCAAAAGTTGATGTCATATCACCCTCTTTTCTTGCCTCCCTCCATGCCATACCCAAGTCTCTCAACAATGCTTTCACTCTTTCTCTACTATTCATAGACTGATAGAACAAGGTGAACAAGGCAGGACACCACCTAGGAAGTCAAGGAAGTCAAGAAACAGCACATTTCCATTTCACCAGTAGATCACAGTACTGAAATCCTGTAAGTACCATTTGTATCGTACGTATGATATATATAATATGTATCGTACGTATGATACGTATGGTATGTATTGTATATATCATATAAACCTTTTGTATGATATGTATCGTATGTATGATATGTATCGTATGTATCGTATGTACGATATCTATTATATGTATAATGTATATCATACATATTTCTGTATTGTACTGACTGCAATCTTTGTTTCTGCTATTTGTATATGGCTTTATTCATAGGTATCATGGCTGAAGGTGACACTAACCCCATGGGGGACGATGCCTTAGCAGAAATGCAAATAGATGAAGTGCGCGCTCCTCCTGGCCCGGACAATTGTGGACCTTTTTGGCGTTGGGAAATCTCTGAAGAGCAGCTTGTCGAGTGTGTGAAGGACAAGATTCTCCTTGTTTTAAGGTCTTATGTTGATCCCAAGAAGAAGGGCAAGATTCAGCTTCATACTATCTTAGACCCATAGGATCAAGTCTACTGTCTGGACTGCGTGGCTCATGGTATTGGTTTACCCGAAGACCAGATACCTTTAAACCCCCAGTCCCTCAAGCTTCACAAGGCAGGCACGTCATTGTACCAGCATTGCATGGGCAAGACGGGTAAGACTAAGGGTGTTAAGGAAAGCAAATGTCTCAAGTGTTTTGATGGGGTTGCACAGAATGTCCGTGATAGACGTGCTGCAGCTGCTCAACAAGAAGCAGAGGTTTCCAAATCTCTCCACCACTTGAACCTTCCGTGTGGTCACAAAGGTAGGTATGACATGATTTCTCCTGATGGAAACATTTCTCCAGTGATCCAGAGTTCCAGTCTCATCCACCACAGAATTCTTTGCCTTGCTTCTTCTGACATAGTACAAAGTCGGGGAAACACAGAATGCTGAGTAATTTGATCGCTGAGACCACTGTTGAATCAATTGAATGCTGGTTTCTTTGAGGAGTTCACTGCAATGAATCTCACGATCCATGTTGTCAGTGAAAGAAGAGGTGAGGTTCATGGCAGAGTGTTCAACTTCACTTATGGTACTCGTAATCATTCCAAAGTGAGCTCTTTGCTTCAGATGATACCCAAACAGGAGATCCCTTTGGGGAAGAAATGACTCGTTTATGAAAACCTTCAATTTGTCTCTCAAAGCTTCCCCCAGTTGCCCCCGATGGAGAAACTCATCTTCTTCAAGATATTTGGTAAGCAGCTTCAAGGATAGGTCGGATTCTTCCTCGGTTTCATATCGTGCAAATCTTCACAGCCATGATACTAACACTTCCCATTCGACCAAGTCATCTCCATCTAACTCGCTGACATACAAAATCGGCAAACAAGACTACAAAAGTCTTTGTCTTATCTGACTGGAGCCGTGCGAGTAGCCGGTCAGCTGCTGTTGCTTCATCAGCAGGGACTTGCGTTTCAACACCATCAGCTGACATTATCGAGAGCACAATCCCTTGCCGGAGATTCCGCTTCATGCCTTCCAGCTGCTTTGAACTCAGGGTAGCACCAGTGGTTTCGTACAGCAAAGTTTTTATCACACTGGGAGGCAAGTGATTTTTCAGGCACTTGGCTAGGGTCGAGCTTCGGATGTCCAATGTGTTTGGTGCTTCCGCCTTGTTTGGCTGGCAGGAACTATCGCTTGTGCTCATTACTGAAGTAAACATTAAAATAGAAAGGACAAACTTTGTCTTTTCCAATTATAGGTAACTGAGTTTGGGTAGTAGGACTGTGTTGGGTTGCCTTTGATGGTGCTTCCTTATAATACCTATGTCTCGGGCACACGACAGTAAGGTAGGCTCTTCGTCTGTCATAGCCTCTGTTTTTAACATTAAAGCCTGCTTCCTTGCATGCAAGTGCAAATACAGACATCAGTTCCTCTTTGATAAACTTTTTGTCATCTTTGTTGAATTTGCTTGGCAGCCAATACACGTCGGTCTTGTCAATTTGAGCATTGCCAAGCTGGCCAAGCGTTTGCATAATGTCAATTGTAATAGGAGTTTCATTTATTAGAGACATTGCCACAGCTACACTAATAGAAGGAGGGATCCACTCTTCTACATTGGTATCATATTGGGCAACATCATTCAGTTCAGCAAGATAGGTATCCATATTGGTTGTTGTGACACTTTGGTGGGTGCTTCAGTTCAGATCTTAGAGATCTGGCAACTTAGAGAACTGGCAAAAATTCGTCATATCATATGATACATATTGTATATATTATATATCATATATCATATATATCATATGGTTAATATATATCATAATATTATATCATCTGGTTTTTATGATAATTGTGTTTCGTATGATACGTATCATGCCTATGATATATATGATACGTATTGTATAGTGTAACCCTTCCTCTAAGGTGCGTGCTTTTGGGGGCTTGTCTTTTAAAGAGCTACTAGACTACATGTACTAGCTAGGCTATTTGTCAACCAAAGCACCAGCGTTGTTGGAATAGATCTAATTCTTGTAGAGTCGAACAGTGACCAGGCACAGCATGGATCTTCCGTTTGCTGGGAGTCTCAGTAGTACTGATGGTGAAAGCAATGAGGAGGTGGGAAGAAGTGAAGAGGACAGAGAGTTCTTCTCGGGAGACGATTTCGAGTACGAACAAACCGGTACGAGTGAGGATGATACTAGTAGCAGTGGCTCGGAACAAGAGGACGTTGTAGCTTCACTCTTGGCCTTGCCCAATCCACCACAACATTCCTCCATGCAACTCACAAGTCAAGAAAAATCTTGGTCCTTGGCCATCAAACACTTTGTGGAAAAGGAATCCGAAGAATTGTGTCCTTTGGCAGACATGGAATATGCCGTCTACGCCATTATTTCACATGGCAACCTAGCCGATGCCATGCGGAGAATACAGGGAATTCAAGCCTTTCGAGAAGCTTATCGAGTGGACGTATCACCACAGCAAGGAGTTCACATGATAGAAGAATTTCTAAACCAGCAACCACGAGCTATGCTTTACATTGATGTCGATGTGGAAACCTTGCAGGGGATTAATGTATGGAATGCTGGAGCCCTCGACTTCAACAAGGCACTTGCCACGGAAGCCACCTGGAGAACATACATTGTGGGCGCTTATTACATGTACTACGCATGTCAACCTACACTTCAAACGGTTCGACAAGGGCATGCCGTCATGGCAGATTTTACAGCATTCTCTTGGGATACCAAACACATCAATGAGGAGTATCACAGCAGATATGCAGGAGAAATGTTTTCCTTCTTTCCAGTACGGTTTGCAAAGTATCTCGCTTTCAACACAGGATTCCCAGCTACTGTGGCATGGACCATGTTGAAGCGAGTCTTTCCGCCTTCCTTGATACAAGTGATTCAGTTGGGGTGCGAGATCCCAATGGCAGAGGGTGAGCAAGTGCCATCCACATTGGAAGAAAAGTACCTACAGCCGTCATTACAAGAGGCAAACAATAGAACACTCTGCAGGGCACTGGATCTTTTGTCCCTGCGGGCCAAGAATCAGGCACTGTTTCAATTATGACAGTATACAAGAGAATCCACAACAATTGCCATTAGCGCTACATGTATCATCCAGTGACGTCCTGCAGTGTCGTGTGAGTTATTGCTGCGTAGAGTGGAATCTGGTAGTGAACGCTATAGTCCTGTGTGGTCTCGCCGTATCACTAGCGGAGGCTGCCGCCGCTCTGTCTTTCCTTTTCACCCAATTTTATTGCGAATCCCCTGGAAGAGTCGAGTCCACCATGAGCAGCCCCCGCTTGAGGAATTGCTTCCACAGGTCTGGAGACACACTGACAGTTGACTGCTTCCCTGGAAGAACTGCCAGTGCTTCTGCTCCTGTTGACAGCTACTCTGTCTGGTCGCGGACGGCCTTGGTTTTCATCCTCCTCCACTCGTTCTTGTGCATCCTCCTCGTTGTCATCGTAGTTTTGGTACCCAATCGATTTGGTCGTCCAGATTTGGGTATGTTTGTCGGGAATTGTGACCTGTTTCAAGCTCTGTCGGGGTGCATTGGCTCGATGTTCGAGATTGGGCACGATACGGTCCTGTATCTCGTCAAAGCGCATTCCACCGGCATGCCCTTCCCCAGGACAATGCTGGACAAGACGGCGAAGGAATGAAGGTTGAAGAGAACACACAAAGAGAAGAAGTACATATTGCTCGTCTACTTGTTTAGTACTCTGCAAATCCTACCGGTACCGGTCCGGCCCTCCTCTGGACCAATAATTGTAAAACTACGCACGGCTGACTGAGTGAAGGCCAAATTTCTCAATGCGCAGCAGCAATCTTCTTTTTGAAGTCTTGAACGAAGGGAATCATCGAAGCTGTTGGGGCCTGCATGAAATCCTGGTACAGGGGCTTCCAGTCGACCGACTTTTTCAGCTGATCGCTTGGGCCCTCGATAGGCCTCTTGCTTTGCGCTTCCAAGAAGCGATCAAAGTAGTGTTTGTAGCTTTGTTCGTCCTGTTCGATTCCCAAAAGATTGCCTAGAGCTGGCCTGGTGAATGGAACCGACTCATCCATGCAGTCCAAATCATCCGGGTTGGAGGCTCCAACCAAAGCACAAATCAGATAGAAACCATAGCTAAAGGGAAATGCAGCTCCCTGATCTTTCATCACTTCCGCAGACTCATCTTTGAAGTCGTCCGATTCAGAGCAATAAGGGACAATCTCTTCGGCGTCCTTCATCCATTCCACAGCCGCGTCCTCGTTGGTACAACTGAGGAAGGTCATTGGGTTTCCCTGAGGATTGGCGCGTGCATTGAGGACTTCCACAATCTTCTTTTGAGCTTTTTGGCCTCCGTTGGGGATTCCATCTCCAAAAAAGTAGCGTGCAATCTGTTTGCCTTGTCCCATGGCGAGCGACGTTTGGATCTTTTCAAAGGCAGGGGTGGAACCGGAAGGACCGGTCTTGAATACATTGTCGATTTGGTTGAAAGCATCCGCCAAAAACGTCTTTGGATCGCGGCCGTTGCGTGTCAAGCCAAGAGTGGTTTGACGGTTCAAAAAGAGAATGCCAATCTGCTGGAAGGGGACGTAGGCAATAATCTCAATCATCTCCTTGAGGCGTCTGGCACAGCAAAAGATATTAATTGTCAGCATCCCTTATCCGCATTAGAAAGGAACAGCACCGTATCAAAATCGAATCTTTACGCACCGGTGACACTCTGCCCAACGGGTTGATGTTTTCCCAGTCAGAGGATCCACCGTATCAGACGCCAGCGTCATCGAGCCTGAATCATCAATCATAAACTCGAGCCTAACGAAGCAAGATGGAGAGTCCGTTTAGCCAGAGTTTAGAAAGAAGGATCAAAATTAATCAAGTCGGCAATATTTGCACTTACACATCGTATTCGCTGAGCATCATCAATTTGTTCATCAAACCCATTGGGACTTCGTACCTAAAACAGAAGAGTAGCAACTTTCAAAATGAGATTTTACAAGAAACAATGACACAGAGGCACGAGATCGGCAGGCACTTCGCACTTACTTGTTGAGAACAGCACCGAGCTCATCCACCATGGTATCGGGAGTCATTCCAGCTTCTCCTGCAATCTCGGGCTCTTGCATCCTGTGAAAAGTAATGATTAAATTTGGGGCATTGTGAGCAATTCATGCAGCGAAGCCAGCGTGATGGAGCGATTACGGAAATCTGGTGACAACGTACATTTCGATTGTGGCGTTGGTAGACTCGGAAAGGGCGATTTCGGGACCACCAGCTGCCGCCGAAGCAGCGGAAATGGCTTCATGATCTTCCATATTGGTCACCACAGGGAGGGCCTGGCTTGGATTGGCAACCGAGGTCGCAGCTACTGGTGCGGCTGCGCCACCACTCGCTTTCGCTTGATCCTCCTTCCACTTCTTCCACACTGGGTTCAGTTTCATAATCCCATTGATCTTGATATATTTCTTGGGTGGGTCTGACATGGTTAACTGGCTGCCTGAAGTTTGGTTTCTCTGAGGGTATGTATCAAGTAGATGCTCGTCCTAATAAATTATTCTTGGATCTTTGTTTTGTGGGATTTGGGTGATGATGTGATGATTTCAATCGATATCTTTTTCTCTTTGCAGCTGCCGGTTTCGGAACCTCTTTAAAATCGCCAACTTTGCATCCAAGACTCGAAACGGGATCGACACTGCATGGATTTCTACGACTGTGTCGAGTCGAGTCGAGTCCTCAGTCAACACACCAGTACCGGCCGTAGCGTACCGCTACCGTACGGCAAGGTTGGTACCAGAGTATTTCGTACGGGTACGTACCGGTATGATTGAGAGGTGTGAACCACAACCGGCGTACTCTAGCTAGCTAGCTAGTAATCACAACACACACCTCCTTGACACCACTGCTTGCTGCAGCTTGTCATGGGGCTGCATTGGGAAGATTTTGAGACCAAGCAAGTAGTGCCGGTAACCTATCGCACATTGCAGACTGTGCCAGTTTCTACCGTACGACAAAGTCCACGTTGAAAATAAATATCAAACAAATATGTACATCATGAAAGAGGGCATCGTCTAGTTCTGTAGTTCACCAGTGCTATTGTTGCTGCAGTTGTTACCGTATCCCCGTGGTTGTTTTGCGTGATTTGAATCTCATTCATTCATTATTACTAGCGAAAATCCACCACTTTTTCGTACCAAAACCCAACAGCAATCATAACGTAGGTTGTGATCAGTAAGGACCCTTCTAACCAATTCACTTTTGGGTAGTTTATCACAATGCTAGAATCATGCAGCGAGTTGCGAGAAAGAAAGATGTGTCAGGATATCACGATATCGCATCGTTTGCTGTGGACCTTTCATCTTTCTTTCCATTCCATATATTATCTTACCTGACTGTGATCACACTGAGCACGTACAAAATGATTTCAAAGTGTGGAAAGTTCAAAGTCATGGGTTTGTCTACCGCCCATCCCACCAGGACCGTCAATGGGACCACAAAGAGTGAGATCTGCGTACAGGAACCGACGGCGACTCCCATGGAGAGATCCATCTTGTCCTTGATGGCAACTGAAACAGCCGTAATATGTTCTACGGCATTTCCCACAATGGGTAGAATGATGAGACCAACAAATGTACGGCTAATCCCCGAGGATGCGGTATATCCATCAATGGAAGCTACCAGGTATTCGGAAAAGTACGTCACCAAAGCGGTACAACAGAACAGACCTGCAATGGCCACCGCCAAGGAAATGGATGGTACTTCTTCTTCTTCTTTTTCTTCCTCGTCATCTTCGGCATTGTCGTCTTTTTTGTTGTTGTTGTTGGGTGTCGACGCCACGGGGACATCTTCAAATATGTGAACATGGGTGTGGAGTTGAAAGAAAAGTAGTTGTAGATACATGAACATGAGAAAGATGGCGGAGACTCTTGATATTTTGAGGACATGTTCATCCTCCAGATTGTAGTATTCGGCAAAGGGAGTGGGCAATACCAGTGCAATACTGCTGAGTGCCAATAATCCCATATTGGAAGTGGCTGCCGCGGAATTAAATTGTTGTTCCTTGTAGTAGAGTCCACCGAAAAAGAAGCAGCACCCCAGAACGAGCAATAGATTGCTGAAAATGGATCCGAGCATACTGGCTTGCACAACCCTAAACTCATTGGCTACCAATGCCTGAATGGCGACAACGACTTCGACGGCATTTCCAAATGTGGCGTTGATGAGACCCCCGATGGTTTGGTTGGTATGGAGTGCCAGTTCTTCGGTAAAGTCTCCCAGCATGGCTGCTAGAGGGACCATGACCACAAAGTTGAGCCAGAAAATCCAAGCCGGTGACCAACTATCATTGTGGAAATTGGCCCAGATTGCAACGGGCGTGACGAGCAAAAAGACACTGACAAATTTGCAGCACACAATATCGATGAGTGCTGCTTTGGTAGCATACTGGACCACATATATTTCAGGCATTTCTGGAAAGGAAGCATCCATGAAATTGTTGTTGTTGTTGTTGGCAGTGCCATCCCCCGTGGTACTCCCGGCATCAGTACCATCATAGGTGAGCTCTCGTTGTTCCGGAGTTTGCAGGGGAAGACGCTCCGATTGTGACATGCGCTCATCGAAACTCATTCCCTTGAGGCCGCTGTCGTTCATTCGAGAAACAGCCGCTGCATGTTCGGCCGTAATAGACCGTCTCAATGCAGCCGGTACCAGTAGACGTTTGGAGCGTTGCTTCAGACCCATTCGTTGGATCCTCGATGTGGCCGTCAGAAACGTAATGGGATTCTCACGGTTCGTAGCGTTCTCGGCAGATGACGTCGAACCTCCCATCGAGGGAAAGCCTTCTCGTAATGACATGATGAACACTCTCTTTGCTGTATATCGAGTATAGTAGCCTGACCTGGGGATGAGATGGGCGGATTGAAACCGTAATCAGTGAACGATGAATGTGGTGAGCCAACGGCCGGAAGTGCCATTGATCGATGGTTGATAGTAGCAAATGGCCAAAAAAGAAGATCCAACTCGTGAACCGCAGTCACGTACATGTACCGTATGCGTCATTTTCTCTCATTTTTCTCTCATCAGAAACAACCCCACAACCCCAGTGACCATGTTTAATGTGAGTCCACGGGAGTACTAGTACAAGTACTGTACGGCTGTACGGGTTGTTAGATGGCCACAACAATGATGATGACACTACCCAGACGTCAACTCTCATGCCTTGTCTCCATCCTCCTCTACCATCACTTTGCATTCGTTGCCATTACACTATGTGATGCATTTTGTGCTTCAACTATCTCTCCATCCACCAAGAAGCAGCTCTTGCAAGCTGTGACGCTCACCAAGCAATCAGCAGCCAACATTACCGTTGCACACTTAGCCTGTGAAACATGGGGCAGTCTACTACAGCAAGAGAATACAATCACCAAACTGAATCAAGAAATCAGAGGCATGTGTCTGGTTCTGTATGGGTCATGTCTGGTACGGACGGGACGAGATGATCAGGCCGTCGCAGAATTTCAAAAGGCATTGGAGCTCACGAGCTTATTATCGCCCGAACATCGACAAGAAGCCGTTCTGGGTCGAGCTCGGGCCCTACAGAGGTTATTGCAATATGAGCAAGCCAAAGAACAATTCCTTCAACTCCCGTTTGTAGAAGATGCCGTTTGTGGGGCTGCCACCTGTGCACTGCGCATCGGTCGTGTCCAGGATTCCGCCACGATTTTGAGACAGTTTGTAAAATCGCAACCATTGTCAGCAGGGACGAGCCAAGCAAGGGATATGCTGCAAATCATTAACATCTTGACAACTGGCAGTGATGCTGAGCAATCCAAGAATAATACAATTATTAGGAAAGACGCCGAGACACCAGCAGATCCAGCCTCGACTTCGCTGCTCTACAAATGGGTCCATTGTATTGCTCACAAACTAGGATATCAACCTCAGGATGTTGATCTGTCTGCCTATCAAGGGACAACAGTGTCCTACTTGGAACTGGCCCAACTCAACACTTCACCCTTTGATGATCATTTACTCGTAAATCTGGACGACAAGGTACTTCTACACAAACTACTGAGCGGACATCAACGCCATCTCACTCGAGACTTTTGGCCAGAAGGAATGGTAGACAAACGCGAAGTAGCAGCAGCAAACTTTGGCGACAAGAACAACGATGGTGATGATCTTTGGATCCACAAAGCGAGAAACGGGTACGGGAGCCATGGAAACGTGGTGCTGACATCCCGTGATGCTCGGAAGATGGCCCAAACAACTATCAACGGAGAGAGTCTCTTGCAAAAGATGGTACAGCCGGCTCTGTTGCTGCAAGGGCGGAAATTTTCGCTGAGAATCTACGTCGTCTACTTCATGGGTGGCACCAAAGTAGGCAAAGCGTCTCCAGATCTGCACATCTCCTCAGCGGGCTTGGTCAAGATGGCTTCCGTCCAGGCTAGTACTAGCACAGAGCTGAACTCGTTGGATGTGCAGGTCCACATGACCAATTCAGGTCGAGAATCGGAAATGATTCAACGGGATCTAGACTACTTGCAGCACATCTTTGAGACTAATGGCTGGTCCTTTCAAGCTTTGTGGTCCAAGATTTCCCGGGCAGTCCGATCGAGTTTGGACATTTACCAAGACACGGTGGTCTTTCAAACGGTTTTGTCTCCTGAGTATCAGAGGTTGGCTCAGTTTGGCATTCCCAAAATCTTTGGTTTTGACTTTGTAGTCGATGAAGCCAGGAATCCCTGGCTCATTGAAATCAATCGCTTCCCAGGTATGGAGGCGCGAGATGACAGCGACCAACCAGTGAAGCACCAAGTTTTGCGTGATACCTGGAGACTGGCCAGCATCAGAGCCAACTTGTCGGATGCAGAGACGACGGCCCTGTTTGGGGATATGTTATTAGTGGACGATCATCTGTCCTCCTGCCTGGAGCCTATCCCCCAGGCCTGAACAGCCTGAACATCTAGCTAGCTATTCAATCTGTGCGATTCGATGCTCGGCATCCAGCCACAATAGTACGTACCGGTAGACTACCGGAAGGCCAGAAAACTATGTGGGCCTGATTTTGCTTTGGGAATCGAAGAATCCAATCGAGGCACTTCCTAAGCTACTAGTACAGTATGGGACTCCGGACGTATAGACTTGTTAATATCATTATTTCTTGTTTATTTGAGGCTATAGCAGCATGCAGTACAACACAGGATTGCCGTAGTCGACAATCAGAGTGCTTACGGGTAACGGTCTTTTCCTCTTTTGAGTGTCTTGGTAGAAGAAGGGGTCTGTGGGCGAGGGCGAGAATCTTGAGAAAAATGTAGAATGGGATTGTAGTATCACATGTAGTCCTTGGTGATGATGTTGGTGAAGACAAAGGAGGCCCCTTTAATGTATCAATTCAGTTCCATCGAGTTGAGTCAGCGACACAGTCCTACATCAAAAAGTGTCCGGGAGCTATGGAGGCAGCAACATCGCTGCGAGCCGAAGATGCTGGTCCACTCTTGGAGAGCATGAGCAAAAGATTGGCAGCGTCCTCCGCATCTGTAAAGGTTGGTTTGCTGCTGGTCATGCTGACAGGAGGTTCCTGATCTTCGGGAGTGCAATCCGAGTTGCTGACGCTGCTGCTATCTTGCTGCTTCAGCTCCAATTGTTCCTTTGGCACTTCCACGGGTGACACCTGACGAGCTGCCATCTTGGGGACCAGCGAAGGACGAGCGACAGCTTCGTTAATCTGGCAATGCACTTCTGTGGGCACGGAAACTTCTTTCGGAACAGGAAAAGCCGCCTTGGGGACCGACGGCAAAGTGGCGGCGGCCTTGGGGAGAATGGATGGAGGTTCCGCCAAACCCGTGACGCCATCTTCCGCTTCCGCCGCTCGAATGGCCATGGAGCGGATCTGCGCCATCTGCAAGCTCTTGGGGCTCACACCAATGTCTTCTTCCACGGTGAAGATGGCCTGTTCTTTGCGGACCCGTCTGCCTTCGGCGGTCTTGGCGGATTCACAAGGTTCGACCCGCTTCAGCATGAGTACGCTGGAAATCTCGGCATTCCCCGTCTTGGCGAGATCCCGGTTGACCCACAGCGCGGTCGTTGTGGAACCGGTAGTGCTGAAGGATCTCACATGGACAAAGCCATAGTAGTTTAGCTGCGAAAGAACAACAACAACATGGCGACACGGAAGTGGATCGTTAGATTGGATTCGGCCGAGTTGACACCAAACAAGATCTTTTTAATTAAAAAGCACATACCTGACGACGAAATGTCTTGAAGTTGCGAGTGTTAAAGTACTTGGGAAGGATGTTCTTGGCAAAGGCATCTGTGGAATGTAGAACCAACAAACCACGACGCCACTCGACGATCCCCGAGTCCTTTTCGGCCTGTAGCATATCATGGAGCCGGCGGACGAACTTGTTCAGCTTGATCCCATTGTGACTGTTTGCCGCAATTGACGGGATCTTAGGGAGTGACGGCGGTAAGGTACGAACACTACTATTGTTCTTTGGTTTGTGCTCGGCTAAGGGATCCCGAGAAAAACAAAACCGACGAAAAGAATGCATTCACAGTGAGTAAGCGCACAGCCAATCGAACGCTAATAATGGTTCTCTCAAAGATCTCAAGTTCCGCTTTTTCAACTTACCAGTGCGAGGGGCCAAGAGCTGGATATCAGGAGAGATGGGACCGTCCTTTCTCCCAAAGGTAGCAACAGGGACAGGAGATGCCTGATGGCTCTGGGGTCGGCTGCCAAGGGGTGGTAGCGCACACAACGGTGGTGCGCCAGTAGTAACATCTGGTGATACTAGGGCCGGTCCACCAAACGGATAGACCGTACTAAACATGGTCTGCTTCACAGTGGAAGGGCAGAGCATAGACTCGGCCTTTGGAAGCAAGTTCCTTGTGGTATTTGGAAGGGGTGATTTCGACATGATCAAGTCTTGATACCTCCGAAGACTAAAAAAATCGACGCTGGGTAAGATTAGCATTCTACCGCCCCCAACGGAGGCTACCTGGCCAAAAGCAACAGTAACAATTAACTCACTCTCTGCGCTTTCCTGTTGGATGTATAGACGAATGTTAGCTTGCCCTTGCCGTTGTTGTTCTGGGTAGGAAGATGGATACCTTTAGCTCAATGGCTGCGAAATGGAGTTATTGAGAGCCGAACCTGATCCTCTTGCAAGGGAGAGTGCTTTTTCGCTTCTCTCGATCTGTTTTCGCCTTCAGAAGAGGAAAACAAGCAAACGCCAGCCGTCCATCCAACTCAAGTACAGTTGGCTACGGAGTCCTGGCTTGGTCTCCAGCCAATCAGATTATTAATCATAACTCTTTCCTTCTTCCTCAACCTTCCGCTGGCAGCTGCAGCACCCTGGGACTGGCTTATGGAAAGACTCCATGGAAAGCATTCTGTGGTTGTGAGGAGGGAGCCTGGAAAGTCTTGACACCTGCCTTAAACAAAATTGAAAAATGCGAATCTGTGTAGGTTCTCCTCTTGGCTGTACATAAATCGAGCAACTATCATTGTTTACCACGTTAAAATGGGCATTCGATGAAAGATTGACGCCATTGGCACAACGTTTTCACATGGTAACATGCCATCCAATGAGATTAAATCTATTCAATCCGTAGCTTATCCAAGAAGTTACGGTTTGGCGCTGAAAACAAAACACCTTTCGTTCTTTTCAAGCATCTCAAATAGCTAATAGCTAATAGCGCGAAACAAAAGAGCACAATCCAGCAACATGGAGCATGGAATACCACACTTCATTAAAAAATCTGCGTGGCGCTGAGAACGTTCATTTTCTTCAACCCCAGGCAATTAGACCAGTAACTTGGCTTCTCAGGTTCGCAGGTGTCAGTGATGACGGCGACGGAAATCCCGCCTCCTGCCCCTGGCCCCAAAGATATTTTTGAGAAAGATATCTGTGTCTCTCTTGTGTGTTGCGGATGGACGGTGTTGACGGTGTTGGTGGCAGTACAGGTTCTTCTGGTAGCTAGCTACCGTACGGTACAGTAGTACCGTACTGAACCTACCGGTACTCCAACCACGGCCCGCCTCCGATCCCCTGCCATCGAGGCTTCAAGATTATCCAGTGCGGTAGTCAAATACATAGCGCCTTCACGTTTTGCAGCTGCATTTGAGGCAATCAACGGATGGATCCTCCGGTTCGGATTTTTAGATCGGGAAGACCACCCGCGTCGCAGTTCGCAACCCCAACCTGCATGCAGCTGGGGCGGGGCATCTCAGAGATCCGCTAACACCTGCTACATATCGGGAGAATACCACTACTTAGTACGTCTCATGCAAATGGCTTGCTACTAGCTAGCTGGCCCGTTGTTTCTATTCCGGGGCACATGTTGTAGTCTTGGAATATTGGGATGGCTGCCTGCGGAACCATCGTCCATTGATTGCTTTGGAAGCTTCCCTCTACCCTCTACCCTCTACCGGTAGCTGTGGATGAATGGTTGTAGACCTTAAAAATTGCAATATCACAAAAGCAGCCCTATTCTATGCATCGTCCCTCGTGTGTTCTGTACCTAGTACCGGTACCACATTTGTGTTCGTTTTTCTCTAGCCAGCAAGTCTTCCAAGTTCAAAAAACGCCCCCAGTCAGAACAGAGTTGGAGTTGATGGCAACTGCACAACCTACATGTACCGACCCATCTGAAGAATCGCCTCCGCAACCAAGCCTGAAGAAAATATGCATCGCATCCAAACGAAGGCCAGGAGCCAATCTGCAGAATGAATCAAAACGCAATGACGGCAAAATTGCGTGGATTGAATCATTCTACTCCTGACAACCAGGAATCAGCTCTCCATACAAAACAATGAAATGTGTAAAATGGGGATGCCTGAGTTTCGCTTGACTACGGTGCCGTACCAGGTAGAGAGCGGTGCGGTTTGTGGAAATAATAGCAACGGTGGCGTCAATGTTTATCTTTTTCCTTCTAGAACGAGTTTCAGTCCCGTCATCCCACCGGGGATGACACCACTTTGAGCGTAGCGTGGAAATGATGCACACACATACACCGTGCATTCGAAACCACTCGCTTTCACTGTCCATGATCAAGAAGAGTCGAGAGTACAACACTTTCTTCATTACTAAATTCGTTGTCGACCGACACCAGTTTCGTCTATCCACCTGCCAGCAAAGAAGCGTATTCTTGTTGGCACGGCTATTGGTTGAAGGTAGAATTCTCTCGGAGCCCACCACCATGACACAGACGATAGGGGCTTTGCGCTCCGCTGCTCTTTTGGAAATTCCACCCGAACGACACGCCGAAGCCTTTGGCACATACTGCAGCAGCCGACCAAAGGGGAGGAAGCCCCACGATGATCCGAAACATCTCCTTAACAGATGGATACGGCTCGAAGATAATCGAGAGGCTCTGCTGAGTAATTGTTGCGCTCTGTTGTTCCGCGATGGCTCTGGAAACCTCATGATCCTTAGCGCTCCGCGTCTGTGTCTGAACGAACACGACCAGGCTTGTATCGTGGGTCAAAAAGGGAATGCTGTGCATTGCAACGAAGTCGTCTCGATTCCAGTCCAGGCGCTCCGACAAGAAGTGCTGGGGTTCCTGTGTGGCCCACGATCAAGGGAAGCCGCCACGAAACTGAGGCCCATTGATAACCTCGACCTTATGCTTGGTATTGACCAGCCCTGCACTGCAAGCTACCTAGGACGCCTGCCGTGTGTCCTTCCACTGGAGTTTGGCCATGGCATTGACATTGATCTTGCCGAAAAGCGGATTCGCATGAAGGTTGCCGCTCGACATCCTTTCTATGCTACGTGGCTTGATAGCACTGCTTACTGGCACACATGCAAGAAGAGTGTCGAGTTTCAGGAGAGAATCCACAAGTCCATTGCACCGACATTGACACCATCGTTGTCGCTTGCAATTTCCACCGTTGGAGTGTCAGAAGACGCATTTGCCGATGACGTCCTGGTCACTGAACTTGAACGTGTTCGTTACGCCAACTTGGAGCAGTGGCTTAAAAACAACCCCCAGTTCTATTCTGAGGCGACGGTAGAAGAAGTGTCCAACACGACAACCCGAGACAAGACATCCATTCATCAAACTCCAATGAGTGAAGAACACGAACACGTGGAGGTGCAAAGGACACCAGCCCCAGCTGTGGCCAACACAGAAGTACCGGTATTGGTATCACAATCACCAAAGCATGTCAACAATGATTGGCAAGGAACACCAATCGCAGATAGTCAACAGAGGGCCACAAAAGATACTTACGATGAGCTGTTTTCATCGCCTACCGTTGCAAATGAGGTATCTACACAGCTATCCCCTCTACGAAATGAGATTGTGACCTTCAGTGCGCCTGGTTCCGATGAATCTCTGACGCTATCACCTCTACGAGGAAAGAAAATGAGTTTCAGTTTGCCTCCTCTGACTGGGCGGGCTTCTCCCGAGAACGATGACGCCGCAACCGGTGTCCTTCCACCTCCCCAATGTGAACTATCAAGTGAGGACAACGAGGACGAAGGCGAAGTGGTGATGGTAGAAAACCCAAAGAAGAGGTCCCAGGCTTTCTCCTCTGACGAAGAAGCCAAAAAGCGGAAGAGCGTAGTCCTCGCCCCCCTCGAGACGAAGATCATTGCAGCCATTGCAGAATTTGATTCATTGGAAGTTCCGTTGTCAAAGGCAAACCTTGCCCATGTTGTTGGCTATAAAAATCCAGGAAGCAAGACAATGAAGGATGCGCTGAACAAGTTGATCAAGGAGGGCATCGTGGCTTCGCGGGCAGGGATGGTGCATCCGACAAAAGAGTTTGGTTACTTCGCTCCAGCGGTACAGAAACCACAGGACAACGAAGAGTTTCGCAAGCGCCTTGAGCCTCTCATCCCACTACACAAAGAGGTCAGGCCACAAAAACTAGCAGCGGTTTGGAACTTGCTCTCTGATGGTAAGGCTCACAGCACCCAGGCCGCAGCTAAGGAGGCTAAGCACAACAATGCCGGCTCCAAAGGTTTCAAAGACGTTGTGTCTGCCTTGCAAGATTTTGATTTGATCGAGAAAAAGGGAAACCAAATCAAGTTCAAGAGAGTTGTGTTTGCTTGGGGAAGCCCTGTGGAAGTGGTTTCTATTTGACGGAGTGACGGAGCGGTACGGTGCGTTCGGGGCTATATTCTGTATTCATTCACAGCTCTGTTGGATATATAGATGTGTCAAAACGATGGCTTGCGGTCTTCCTTTTTCGTTGCTCAAGTGTGGCTTTGTCATTTTGTTGTAAGAATTTTCCCCGATTATTCTATTCTTAGATCGCTATAGTGTTTGCGATCCAAAATCAAAACTCCAACCACATAATGCCCAAAAATCAGATGAAGGATGTACGCGTAAGACGTTGTGAACTAAAATCTGAAAACCTTATGGATCGACTCTAATTCACATAACCTCAGTTCCCGAAGAAAGTGCTTCGGTAGCGAGGAGCAGCGGGGCACTTTGTGCGGCCGTCGTATCATTGGCGGGCCACATAGCCTACTAGCTAGCTAGTGACGCATCGCATCGGAGCAAAACAAAGCATTCCCAGGTCAGGGACAGTCCGCACTGCACGCCAAAACCGGTTCGTGGTTCTCCACGGCGAGCCGTCGTTGACCCCAATAAAGCTTCATGCCCGTTGCTTCGTCTCGTTGGTACCAAAGATCTGGCAAAATTCAGCGAAATCGACTACACCGCTGGCATCAACATCGAGGCTGTTGAGGATTCCTACCACGACATCCTCTGGAACGTTTTTGTCCATGCTCAAGAGCAGGGATCGCAGTTCGTCGAGTGTCAAGTAGCCGTCTCCAGACGTGTCAATGGAGTCAAAGACCGCCTTTAAATCAGCCGTGCTCATCGTATCAAACTTTTTCTTCGTTTTGTAAGCAACAGCCTTTGCAAACTCTTTTCGCATGAAAATGTCAGTCACACTGGACTTCATGATTGGTGATGAGTCCATGAGATCAAAAAAGTCGCGTGCTTTCATTGTGTGAATTCGACAGCTGTCAGTGGCGCATAGTGCTGTTGCGTTGCGGTTTTGACGAGTAATCAGAGAACCCACAGCAAACATTTCGCCAGGTTTCGTGGTTGCAATAACTTGGTCATTGACAAAGCTGTCGACCAAACCATCCTCTACAATGTACATCGCGTCGGCCTCTTCGCCTTGTCGGTACACAATATCACCTTTCTTCAGATTCATCGGTCTCAACTCATGCTGCCTTCGAAGGATGTTTTTAGTTCTGTTCAATGCACGTTTCTTGTCCTTCTCCCTCATATGCAAGGCCAGACCAGTCTCCGATGCGGCGAGGAACTTGTCAAAGTACTCCCGTGAAACTTCGATTGCATGGACTGGTGTCAGACACTTGACCGTAGCATTGCGAGTCCGGTCAGGGGAGACCAAGGCTCTGATGACCGATTTGTGTGCACGCGTTAGATGTGACATGACAACAGCAATCAAACCGCTGTTTCATCGCAACACAATGTAATTCACGAAACCTACCCTTCGCCGACAAAGTTCCCTGCCTTCACTTCAACCGTGTATCCATCCTTCGTAGTGACCTCGAGCATTCCGCTGTTCACAAAGATCATCGAATTTCCAATCTCTCCTTCCTTGTAGAGTACCTTCCCCTTTGGAAAGTACCTGTCCTTCATGTTCTCGGACAGAAGGTTCGAAAATGCCGACAATGACAACGCGTCGTCCCCGCTGGACTCCCCCATGTCTGTAGCATTAGATCCGGTCAATTTCTTTAGATCTTTGGCGCTGACAAACCCTATACAGATAGCCCGAAGCCGTGAGCAGCATCCAAATGAAGCGGCAACAGCTGTGCGCTATAGACTGATTCGATTCGTACCTTTTTGCTCTGCATCCAGCATGCGGAAAGAGCGTTCAATGAGCGAGGTTCTTTTGGAAACGTCTTCGTTATCGGCAGATTCCGCCCACGAAACAATATCTTCAAAGACCTTGGCCTCGAGACGACTTTTGAACACTCTAAACTTGGACAGTTTCTTGTCGGATCCCGACATTTTATCCTTACGAGCAGTCTCACCCAAGACCCAAGGATGCTGCAACATTTCGGATGCAGTGATTCTGTCTTTGGGGTCCCACGCCAACAGACGTCTGATTAAGTCAACGGCAGAGTCTGACAAATGCGCTGTCATGGGTGAGTCTTCGTCCAATGAAGGTGGCGTTTCGTGGGCTTTGACCTGTTGGGCAATCTCTGTATCTGTAGCATCCCCCACGACATCAAATGGATGGCAACCAACGAGCATAATATGCAGGATGATTCCGAGTGCCCACATATCTAGAGGCGGATCTATTCGTTTTCGTTTACCAGGAGGCAACTTGAGCAGTTCCGGAGAAGCGTACGCTGTTGTCAACCCAACCACTCCAGGTTTTTCGTTGGGACCTCTGGTGACTTGTGCGCATCCAAAATCAATCAGTTTGATTACTGCATCGCTGGTGTTTTGTGTGCTCAACATGAGGTTTTCAGGTTTCTAGGCGTGAAGGAAGAATGTAAGATTTTGGGAACTGGGCCCAAGGTTATATAGCAGATGACTCACCATATCCCTGATACCAAAGTAGACAATACGAACAGAATAGCATAGAACACGATTGTTGGGATGTGCAATACAAAGTGACGCTGAATACATAATTGGATCATTCCAACATGCTTGCTTGCTTGCTTACCCATGAACAAATCCAATTCCATGACAGAAATCCAATGCCGACGCTACCTCTCGAATAAGACGGGATGCATCCTCTTCGGAATAGGCGCCATGTGCAATTAAGTGGTCAAACATTTCGCCTCCTGATATCAGATCCAAAGAGAAATAGAAGTAATTGCCCTCGTCGAAATTCTCGTGCAGACCGCAAATGTTTGGATGTCCTCCCGCTCTTCGCAAATGAAGAAATGCCTCCATTTCCCGTTGAAAGCCAACATTGTCGGTGTACTTTTTTGATATTTGCTTCAAGGCAACCTGTCCCCCTGTCTTGCGATTTGTGGCCGAGTAGACAGCTCCAAACCCTCCTTGACCGAGAGGTTTCTTCCACTCCACTTTGTACATGCTTCGAAGACTCTCCTTTTCTACCTCGCTCTTGTACTGCTGGATAGTAGAAGTTCGTCGTATCTGACTGGCTCTGCCAAACAGGCTGCCACCAGGGGAAAACGTTGCCTCGCAAGCCGTTGTCCAATTTCGAGGCATGGCGATTGTTGGGGTTGGTACCGAAAAGGGTAGCGAATCATTCTTCTTCTTCTTCGAGATTACAGCCAAAGATCGGTTGCAGTTCTTTCCAACGCCATCGTTGGATATTTGGTCGTCGTCGTTGTTGTCGTCGTCGATGGACTGACTCTTCTTATTTTCCCACGAAATCGATTCGGAGTCTGTCAAAGCAATCACTGAAGCAGTAGTGCATCCGAGAACCCCAGCCACACCGAGAAACGAGGCAGAATAACCCTCCCCAGAGCGAGACGACTTCAATGCAGCCCTTCGAAGCATCTGATGATAGACTAGCCGCTGTAGTTGAGAAGCCATGGTGACAGGAAGATTCGATTCAAAAGAAAGATATTGTGTCAACAAAGGACTGCCGCTGGATTCAGCATGGTAATAGATTGCTTGTGTCTTCCCGTCTCTTCAAGCACGGCAAGGGTGTTCCGTTGAAAAAGTATCTTTGTGACAGCAGATAGACGCGATCCATACGGTACGGTACGGTACTGCAGTACCAGTCACAGTACTGTACAAAAGTCATTTGGAAAGATTTAACAACAAATCATTTCATAAATCACGGAAAAAGTCCCGGTAAAGATGTCCGCAACTCACATCATCGAAATGGGTTTTATTCATCTCGCTCTCCTCTCTCCTCTTTGCAAATTGCTAGACCAAGTCTTTGAGGAAGATCGATGACAACGATACTACGACGGCAATTCACGATAAAAGTGTAGCGACGAAGCAAATTTTTGCTCGAGTTGCGGCTGCTGTCATATGCATAGGCGTAGGTTGCAGGTGTTGGGGCGATTGGATGTTTTGAACCACCCATCAAGTGGCGCACGCAAACACTACGTACGGTACGACGGCAAGGCGAAGGACAAGGAATCCAAGGAAAGGATACGATCAAAGAACACGTACCGTATTCAACAAAGACGAAAAGAAGAGATCACGAAAAATGAAGCAACCAACTTCTCAGTTTCTGCCGCGCAACTCATTCTTGGCAAAGCAGATGTCCATCCATTGTAAGGGTACACAGTTGGAGGGATCAGTAGTTAGCTAGACTGCTCATAAAGCAGCATCAGGATGTGGAATAAGGCACTGAATTAGTGTTGTTGAGTTTTGTATACACAAAATCTGGATAAATTATCATCTGCAGTTCCAGTTAGCTTGAGTCTAGTTCGTACAGTGGTTAGTACCCCGCATTGTGGTTGCGGAAACCTGGGTTCGATTCCCAGACTGGACAATTTTGGCCATGCTTTTGCTGCCTCTGACATTTGCCATTTGATCTTTCTTTGCCATCCTTTTGAGACTCTCCTTTCATTCAATTGCATTGGCCATCCAACCTCGGCAGGTTAACTGCCTGAGTTCTCAACCCCTTTAATGCTATTTCCTATATCCTATTTCCTATTTCCTATTCCGGTGAAGCCAAAGTATAAGGATAGAGATAGTCATAAGCCAACGAAACTGAACATTAATGGTTCAATACAAGTTAGGGGTAGGAATAAATCATTATTATTTAAAAGGTTAGTGCAATCATCACAACAGCACAATAAGCCAGCAGGAGCTGTAAATGTTAGAGTTACAATAAGGGAATGGCAGCTGGTAAATTATAGAGTAGTGGGCGGCAACACACGACGTAGTCGGGTGTTGTCGCCAGGGCTAGCTTAATAAAAAGAAGGTTGCAATGAGGGAATGAATGATACCGGGCGGCAACACACGACGTAGTCGGGTGTTGTCGCCAGGGCTAGCTTGAAAGATGGGTGCAATCCGAACATAATCCTCCTTCTTCTATCTGTCTTTCTGCCGAGGTATCGCAGCTCCCGCTGACTTATCAAACTCGGGATTGAGAGAGAAGTCAGTCACAAAGCGCTCACCACCATCAAATAAAACAAACTCTCTCTGAACACTTCATCACCATGACAAGACATGTACTTTGTTATATCTGTCAATCGAAAAAGAGGCGACAGCCAACGTGTTAGCTCTGAGTGGTACGAGAAGCCGCCTCTGGTCGGTTCCTGCTCTCAGCAACAACTGTCTCCGTTCGATCTGCTTCCACCAACCATCGCGTCTACTCCCTCTTGTCGTCTATCTGCACTGTCGAGAGAATTAAAAAAGATCATTTGCTCTACCTACCGACGCTCTACCTACCGACGCCATTGTCTCTACCATTGCCTCTACGGACGCTCCTCCCCATGCAGTTCCTGTAAGTTTCCCGTTGTTGCCGACGTCGTATTATTCGCAATTTGATTGTGACTAACACCATGGTCTTCTTCTCTAGTTTCTTTTTAGAATGAAAGGAGCCGTTGACTGTGGTTCGAATGCCTTGATCTTCTCCAAACTGTTGCCCCCTTGACCACCAAAACGCTGGCTCTCATGCTCTTTCAACATTGTCTTGAGTGCCTTGATATTCTTACTAGAGAGCTCCTCTTCAGGATGTAGCCACGGGCCTGCAGTTCTGTGGTTGCCAGCCCCACACTGAGAGTAATCTTCCAGCCATCGCTGCAGTCTGATAAACACCGGTGGTAGCTTGGATCTGATTGGCCCGGCAGTTGGAGTGCATGGATGCCAATGCTCTGTCTTGAAGGGCCTGTACTCTGTACTCGATATTGGTTCTGTCGCATGGAGCTTTTGATTTGTCCAAGTGCCAAATAATAAGCTTCGCCACCCATGGTATCAAGCAAATCTTCCTGAATGAGAGTGTGGCACTGCGAAGAAGACCTTGAGTTCGCTCCACAGTCTTCATCTCGGCCAGCATGCCAATACAATGGACATCAGCATCTCGATTGGTACCAGGTACCATACTAGGACGGTAGCCATGGCCCTCCGCAAGCCCTCCTTTCTGTCACTCTTGGAGACGATTGCTGCTTCTTTGACACCTGCTTCAACATGATGTGTCTGATGGGCCAAAGCAAGATAACAAGAGATCATCTCTTCCTTGAGCTGACTGGGATCCACATGGCGGAAGCAAACAAGTGGCTAGTGTAGAGTACTGCTCTTCCGGTTCCACAAAGGATCGGATAAGTTCATAGGAAATCTTGAGTTTGATAGTAGCCTCATGCACGTCGCTGTAGTAGGTAGCAGGTTCATATACGGGATCTTCCTTCCTTCAAAATGACAGCAGCGAAAACTCTTGCAACTAGCTAGATCCTCAGCCAGCAACATGTCTGGCTGTGACCACCGACTGCAATGTGAAGTGTTTGTTCAAAGCCAAAGATGCTTTTTGAAAAGAACATCTTTACTTTCTTTTTCTGTTTCTGCGGTGTTGTCGCCCGGGCTCTGGTAGATAAAAGGAACAATCTCAAACATGATCCTCCTTCTTCCATCTGTCTATCTGCCGAGGTATCACAGCTCCCGCTGACTTATATTCAAATTCTCCTTGCTAGTACCTTACGGCAATTTGTTCATTGGCACTTACTAGAAAAATGAACGATGGGATGGATTTATTTTTTGGTTCAGCCCGCAGAGCTGTTCGATCTCTGACCCCCTTTTTTTAGCCGACCCAAGGACAACCTCGGCCTTTAGAAAGTTTTTCAACTAACTCGACTGACTCAACTCAATTCCCGTAAAATTTTCCCTTTTGCTCCCTTTCATGCATTCTTCCAAACCACCTTTTATTGGAATATTACCTTCAGCACTGCAAACATACTTACGTGCTCTCAAAATGATCTGAGACCATCAAACGCAAATCCATCAAAGACAAGATTTTCTCCAGGATGAAACACAGGGTAGTCTAAACAGTTGGTGAACGTGGACCCATTCTCAGGTCTATCAACGATATCCTCCTCCCAGACCCAAAATGGAAGCTCAGGTTCATTGTTATTGAAGGGTAAATAATTCTATGAATTACAGGGCAAGAGCTCTAGATTCGTAGTAGCAGCGCTAAGACAGCTTGCTGGCTTATTGCCTGGAAAGATGGATATCCACCCATCTTCGTCCATAGTTGAGAATAATGAAATAGTAAAGTATCTGAAGATCTAGATAGCATACCATAGCCTTGCAGTAGAGAACATCCTGTGTGGTCCATGGGGTGTAAATTACTCATTAGCTTAACAAGCTATTGGCCACCGAGTGACTTTATTGACGCGGGCATTGGATGGGGGAGACCCCCACCTAGCTGAGTCGTCATCTACTTTGTTTGCCCAATCAACATGACCTCATCCACTGGCCCAACGTGGAGCCAGCACCAAGTAGACAGATGCCCTGGGTAGGGGGTGAGCACATTGATAGAGAACCTGCAGCGCAAAACCTGGGTTACAGGGGCTTACACAGGGTTTTGTCGGTATTGAAACCATTATCACCAAAGGGGCCGTGAGGACCAGATAGATTGCCAGACCAAAGAGTGCTCGCCAGTAAGTGTGTCTGGGTGATCAGGTCCCAAGCTGTGGCAATTGCCTTGGCATGCAAGGCAAGATGCCAGCAGAGCCCGTAGGAGGTGGTACTCCTCAGGCTGGACCAGAGCAGGGTGTAACCCATCCAATGCACAAAAATGGTTAGATAGAGGCCAACAAGCAGGCAAAAGATGGGGTCAAATGACACACTGGCAGTCTGTGGTTCCCAGGAGGGAGGCACAGTGGCTGCTGAAGTGTTGTGGGCTGTTCGAGGGGTTGTTGAGTCAATGGAAGGAGGATAAGGGGGTACTGGAAGTGGACTGGTGCTAGGGGCAGGAGGGGAGATCCTGGTGATGTTGGAGTGTTGTTGTAGGAGTTGGGAGGTAGCATGGTTGATGGTGTGGTGTAGGATAGAGGTGTGCCTCTGTTCAAGGGTGAGAACAAAGGCATCCTCCCTGATAGGGTAGGGTGTGATTCGGAAGGGTGTGATCCTCAAGATGGCTGCATGCTCTAGGAGCTGTTGGCTGATCATCTGGGGAGTGGTGTTGGGTAGTAGTCTGCGGAGGATGGTGGATGTGGTTGGTTGGGTGAAGTGTGGGAGTGGGGGGATGTCTGGAAGGACCTTCGGTTTGAGTGAAGTTGTGGGTAGATATGGGGAAGTCATGGCGGGTGGTAGGTGGGTTGGTGGGAGAGTTGTGTATCCTGGAGTGTCGACTGTAGTGTCGTTGCTTCAACTCAGGCAATGGAGGTTGCTTGTGAGGTGGCGAGAGGATTGATGTAGAAGGGTTCATTCAGGGGCCAATGCACTGAGGCACTGGTAATCAAGGTTTATATCAAGTTGTTGGGTTGTTGTTAACACTGGATCAAGGCTGTGGCCAAGTCTGGTGCAGATATACCACTACCTGCAGGAGAAGATGGGATCAGAGCCAAAGGCTGTTAGGGATTCTTTCAGGGAAAACTGGAGAAGTCACGCTATAGCCAGTAGAGGCAGTGGTGGGGGGATCAAGGGGTGTTGTTGGTTGATGGGGCTGTGTTACTGGATGACACTGTGTTGTCTCAAAGGCTGGTACTCAATCTGTTGTAGGGATAACAATGCAACAGAGAGTCAAGCCAAGATGTGGAGGGTACTCGATTCAGGTGGAACTGGGGAAAGCCACTGGAGAGTCACTCAACAATCAATGAGAGAGGGAAAGAGTCAGTTATGTATTAATATCTATGCCACACCACGCTGCGGTTCTGTCTGGGGCTCAATCCTTTGGAGCTCCACACTCAGTAGGAGAGGCAGATAGGAGGAGAGAGGTGGCTGTGTCAATGAATTGTTGCACAATCTAGCCAAACACGCTAGAGGGGCAGCTTTTGTAGTTTGTTCTTGTGGGGGTAGGATCCTGTGGAGAGGAGTTGGATATTCCAGGGAGGGGCTGTCAGACTCTGAAAATGTCAGCCAAGCCTGGTGATAAAGTCTGAGTAGGATGACTGGCTACAGAGGGCTCTATGCAGCCGGTGTACTCTTGAACTCAAGTCCTTACAGGAACTCTGTTGTTGTTTGTTGTTCCTCTTGGAGAGGAGTTAGATATCAATGGAGGGGTGTAACAGTAGCAGGTGTTGATCAGTCAATCAGTCTGTATAGGGATAGGACTGGTTGGATCAGTAGGATCAGTTCCAACAAGGACGTCGGGAGAAGCCAAGAGTGGCCAGTGAGAAAGTAAGAAATACAGCTGTGTTTCTGTTCTCGACGGTCACTGCAGGTATCTCGTGAAGTCCTTCTTGATAATAGTAGGCTGTCATTCGATCCGTACGAAGGAAGAGGTACGGAGAAGAGGTACGGTCGCGGGAAGATTGATCGATTCACGGAGTAGCGAGTCGTGGATGCGAATCGATTAATTCGATTCGATTTGCGATTCGGCTTCGCGATTCG